TTTCTCCGTTTAACAACGCTGTTGTGCCGCTTGCCGGTGGCTCTCGTTTGGCACCGATCATTAGATATCGGCACCTCAGCTCTGGGTTCCCCGGGACCGCTTGTGGCGATGAGACCCCTATGTATTTTCCTGCTTATTGAACTCAAACCTTCCTTTGGGACAGCAGCAGCCGGGTCAGCTGGGATCTGCCGGGCAAAACCCACAGGATACATCCCGGTTATGGCAGGGTTAGTGGGCAGAGGTTGGGGGCACTTTCTCATGTGAGAAGTGTGTTCCACACCTCATATTCTGGAATGCAGCAAAGCAATCCACCAGGAATAAATAAACCACCAGAGACAGCAATCCCTGCATTTCAGAGACAGGCAGAGGTGAAACAGCAGAGCCAGCGCAGGTTGATAAAGCACCTGTATAAAGCCCTGTTGGCAACGCTGATCTTACAAAGACTCACGAGACCTTCAGCAATGTCAGGACCTCAGTGTGACACATTCCACCTGAAAAACAGACTCTGCTTCTCCCGGCCTTTGGATTTACAGTGGGTGAGAGAAGGGACAGGACACTGCCTGTGTCATGTGCCACCCTCTGGGTCCTCAGCTTTCCCACAAGCTGCCAGCAGCTCAGTCCCCTCTGGGCTCCATCCTGCTCCTGCAGTTTCCCTGCGCTTGAAACCTCTCTCCCATCTCTTTGCAGCAGGTACCCACACAAATCCTGGGGATTTCAATAGATGTGGAACACTTTGCACCAATTCTCTGTGAGGTGAATGTCAATACAAACCTCATATACTYCTGTACACATCGTGACAGAGGAATATCAAAAGTGAAAATGAATTCAGGATCATTTAAGGGTCAGTGCAGATGCYACAGATGAGGATTTTTCACCTGAAAAAGCTGGGAGTTTTGCCCTCCTATGAAAAAAAAGACTGACCTCACATTTTGGTGCATAGGAGACCAGGCCTATTCTTCCTCACCTCATTGACCAGTCTCTGTGCAAACAATAGCACTGTGTGAGTTAGCATTTCTCTTGTTAAGAAAAATCTTCAAGAAGAAGCAATTCTTGTACCTGAGTCAGGGACCAACATTTTTAGAAATGGCCAAAGTCCACAGTAGCAGTGAAGTGGCAAACCAAGCAACTTGGTTTTACCAGCTTAATAGTTACTTAACTGGCTAATAATTACTTCACTGGCAAGCTTACCTCCTGCACAATGAGCAATGGACTCTTTGACAACAGCAACAATCCCAAACTGAGTATTAGYTYAGGTGACCACTCAGGATATGTTCARTGTGGWGTGTTGAGGGGCAGAGCACACTATGAGCAAACCCTTCTTACCCCAGTTCAAGCCAAAGCAAGAGAAACCCTTCATGAACGGATGTCTCCCATTCCTCTCACACATTCCTCTTCCTACATCTCCCCATTTTTCAAACTAAAGGCATTTGTTTGGGATTTGGAGAATACTTCAGTGCTTTGGGTGATGTTGAAATGAACCCAGTTAACTGCTTCCATTTTAATCACTCAGAAGTGACTCAAAATGCCCATGACCCCTCTGGGGAGCTGCACAAAGCTCACCAGGGCTGGTGAAATGATTCACAGCTATAGGCTCATTATTCTGCTTGAAAGGTTTCTTCTAAAGGAGAGATAAGAAAAACCTCTTCAGAGAGGGCACTAAAATATTCTCTTCTTTTGTTGTAGCCACCTGATTTAAACACAAATGCTAAAGGGTTATTTTATTGTAGCTTCAGGGCTCTGTATTTGGCGTATTTTTGGTTTTCAGTAGGTGTGTAGCTGGAAGTAGATGTAGTAGCTTCAGTGACCTGTAACCTGCCTGAGCTCTTGCTGCCCTGCTTGCAGCTTTGCCCAAAGAGCCTGGATCCGGCACAGTCACAGTGCACATGTTGTTACCAAGCAGCCCTTTCCAAACAAATCTGACTCCAATGACCACTTCTCACATGTGGCAGAGCTGTGGCAGACTTGCATGGTTCTTGCTCTGTTTGCTTGCAGTCAGGTGAGGGAGAGCACGAGTTCTCAGCAAGGGRAAAGGAGTCAGGGAATGGCTGAGGATCCCAGCAGGAGCACCRGGGAGAAATGCACAAGGAATCGATCAGGCTGTGCTTCTGCTCATGGAAATGTTTATTGGAGAATAAAAATTAAATTAAAGGAGACCTCAAAGTATCCCATGCTCCTGTCTGGAGTGAGGCACCAGGCAAAAACTGCTGCTGGGACCAGCCATTGATTGTRCGAGCTGCAGGGAACCACATGGCAATGAAACAGCATTTGATGTAGAGGCACATCCATGGATGACCCCACCTGGGTAACCACAGCAGTTCTTCATGCAAAGGGCTTTTCATGCTGAAAGGAGTCAAAAAACATGGAGACAAACATTTTGATTGTGGTTTTAAGACTGCTGGGAGCAGCAGTCTGTGCTTTCTTGCTAATCCTTTTGTAAGAGGAAATACATCTCCTTTTCATAACTCAAAAGTTACACAAAACCACAGGACAGAGAGGATCCTGAACCAGTAYTTTACTTGACTCTTAGCCCCCAAAAGGCATTGATGGATCAAATCTTAAAACCACTCAGATATCTTAACAGAGTGCATATTAAAGCAAGAGCATCAGTGGGGAGGTTGTGTGTAATGAGGGGGAAGTTTGCCAGAATTTTACAAAAACAATCCCCTCAAAGAAACAATGTTTTTTAAGGCAGTTCAACATTGCCAGACTGCAGACTCCGACTGAAGAAAGCACTGCTGTGTAAAGATCAGCATGGGATATTCTATGAGAAAACAACATCAGTTTTCCCTCTGGGTGCAAACTGTCCCTTGGAGAACTGTTGCCAGGTGATGGATGCCTGCCTACTGCCATGGTCAGAAGGGCAGCCTGYGGGTTTGAACTTGGCCCACACCATCTTTCTGTCTGCACAAGGCTGAGGGATGCTGACCCGGCATGCTGTCCTGCTGCAGGATGAGTGGCAAGAGCAGACTCCATTTATGTAGAGCCCAGAGTAAGGGGTTTGGCACTTCTCTGGGAGCAGATTGGGATATACATGCAAACTGTGTTATTTAACATCACTGAATTTTTCCAATATAAAGAGAAAGGTGTTTGAATGAGAATAAGTTTCATTACTGTAACAATGTTTATTTGCATTTGCGATTGATTTGGTTTTTCAAGAAGGGAGATCTTATTTATAGAAACCTCCAGACGGCAACATTAGGGAAATACCATTTGCAGTGGCATGGATTCCCAGTTTTTCAGACAGTAAAATCCCCAAYTTAGTAGTAATATCTGGTTTATGCTGTCATTTACTTGTAACACAAAATTAAAGGCTCCAGTGCTACCTCTGCAGTGCCAGCTCCAGGCAGAACTCCACTGCAGTGAAACCAAATCAAAGGCTCCCACATTCAGAGCCRATATCTGAGGCTTGAGTATTTGCTCTCTGAAGAGATTTTTCTAATTCCATTTCYTCCCCTAAGTATATCCTGTGCAGAATCATTTCTGCAGATGTGAAGGAAAAGTGATGGCTGTGCTTAAGATGGGAGCCCAGACCTGAGGCCTTAGTATTGGCAATTCTGCAGTGTCTCAAGCCCTGTTAGGTCCTTGTCCCTGTCCCAGCTGCTGTTGTCTTCCTCCTTCCCACAATTAGCTTAGGAAAAAAAAGCAAGATTTTTGTTGCTCTTATTCTTTCTTCTGCTTCACAGTTTCTTTTTGAAATACTAGTGCATTCCCAGGTCGTATATTTTTGTACTTATAGAAGCATCTTGATTTCCAGATTTAATCAGCCTTTCACCCAWGTCTGCAGCTGTGACACTGCCAGTCTGGGTGGAAATGCTCAGCTGTAGGATGTAGTTTAGAGTATYTTGCATGTGAAGTCTGGAGCTCTTTTCCTTTTCACTGTCTTTTGAAGCTCAATTCTTTACCATCACAAAGGCTGAGCCGGCGCAGAATGGACACAAAGAAACTGGTTATTCTTTCTGAGAAAGAGGAAAACACAACTTAGGTGGATTTTCATAACCATAGGCTGAAGTCAGCCTTGTGCTCCCACTGGGTATCTCACACTAGGGACCCAAACCCAGCCCTGCAACACAGTGGCTGGCTCCACTGTGACCCCCCAGAGCAGCAACTGCTGGCGCCAGCTGTCAGTCACCCACATTCCCAGGAATCCCAGCTATCTCTTGCATTCCAGAGGCACCATTTGGACCAGRACTAGCACTGCTGGTGCACTCTGCCATCAGCGATGTAGCTGCAGCTCAAGGGTCAGTGCTTGAGGTGAATGCTGTGGCACATTGCCAGATGCTCATTTAACTGAGCAGGGAATACATGAAGGTTTACATGTTACAGGTTAAACTTCTTCCATCTCCTGCCTTTTGGGTTGAAAATCTGCAGTTCTGTTTTGTTCTATTATGATGGAACCAACACAATGCTGGTTCCGTCTCAGACAAAGCTGAAACCTCCCAGTTCCACAGCTGCCGACTGCTGTCACCCACAGGATAACTCCAGGGCAGAAAGACAGGCTGAACAGGGAAAGGCTGCCAGACTGGCAGGGAAGTCACAAAGGACACAGCYCTTGAGGACTGGTAAAAGATAAAGTATTACTGAAAGTGAAAATACTTTAGATTTTATGCTAAAGAAATGTCAATTCACAAAGTTAAAGCCCAAACAGCTTTACATCAAAGCACATTGGGCACAGCTGGTGTGTGTATAACCAGTGTAGCTTGTCCATGTTTGCTTAGACTATGAAAAGCTTCATGTGCTCTTAAATAATTCTCTTCATTTTTGTTGACTGTTTCAATAAACAATTCACTCATTCTGGAGCCCACAAGCAGGCAGTTAATCCCTAAAGAATTTTGGCACCTGAGAGAATAGGGTCCTGAATGACCCAGTCAAAGGTTGAAGTTCACGTGCTGTGGGCAGAAGGTTGACTAGATGGTCTCCAGAGGCCTTTCCAAATCCATTTTCCCCATGACTCCGCAATCATAATGTGATGCTGCCCAGCTGTCAGAYGAAGGGTTCAGCTTTCTGCCATAATTGGCTGCACACTGGCTATGTCTGTCTTTGCAGAGTTCCTCTGCGGGGATGTCTGTGCCTTTGGGCAGATGCTGCTTCTTTTGCASCGGCAGTTCTCAGCCTTGGCGTGCCGGAAGGGCAGGGAGATGGCCTGCAGAGCATGGCCCTGGGTCATGCTCCTGCGCCGGCACACGCACAGCAGRGACCGGAGCTCCGTGCGGAAACTCTCGTTCAGCCAGCAGTAGATGAACGGGTTGTAGCAGGTGCTGCTCATGGCAAACCAGTGAAAAGCAAAGTACAGAGCATTGCTGCTGTGGATGGCCCTGCAGGAGATGAGCACCACGTAGCAGTTCAAGGGAAACCAGCACAGGGCAAACACAACCACCACCACCATCAGCATCTTCAGCGTCATCTTTTTCTTCCGTTGATGGGCATAGTATTGCTCCATGGTGAGRTCCCCGATGGCGTTCCTCAGCCAGAGCTTCTTGGCTACCATGGTGTATGTGATGGAGATCACAAGCAGGGGCAGGACATACAAGAGAACAAACGTAGTCAGGTCCAAATACTTCCAGAAAAGATCAGCRGGAGGAGGGAAGCTGGGGAGGCAGACCATTCGGATGGTTTGGTTTCTGAAGATCAAAGAGAAAGACCTCTCAATTCCACTACCAGCTGCAWACATCTGAAGACAAGCACCTCAGACATTCAGACAAATTTCAGTACAGGAACAGGCAGCAGATCTTATTCAGTATCATGAGCAGGTACCACTTTCAACGAAAAACTTTACTCTGAGTTTGACCTTTGGATCCAATTAAGGTATCTTAAACACATCCCCAGGAAAAGAAAGAAATCATCCATATTGGCATCTATGTCCTGTACTGATGAGGAGCCCCTCTCCTCTGTGTCTGCCCCAAATTGCATGGCTGAATTTCTGAGCCCAAATCAACTAATAAACCAGCCTGGAAGCAATTCTATCAATTGTCATTATCCCTTTGTGACASACATGGCACCCTTGCAAAGGGAAGAAAACCATCTCTGTTTCACCATCCTTTCTGCTCTAATATATGGATGGAGACGTGGGGCCTTGGCTTCTGTGGGACTTTGAAAACATCATACAGCAAAAAATGTCAWGTAAATGTCTTACCCAATATAAAACCTTGTAAGGGTCTGATAAATGGCATGAGGCAGAGAGAAGCAACTGGCCATAACCCAGATGATGATGACACAAATCCCTCCTTTCACCATGGACATGCGTGGCTTAAGAGGATGCATGATCACCTGCAGAGAACAGCACGTTCGTCATCCTTTGAGCCTCATATTGCATGTGACTCCACATCCCTTCAGTGTAAAAAGGCAGAGAAAATCACTTTACAGGACTTCAGGGAGYAGAAGGGCTGGGAAATGCATGGAGYTGTGCACATATTGAGTGTTGCTGCTGACCCAGAGCCTGAGCAGAGGAACACGTTCTGTGTAACCCATCAGTGTGACTCCAGAGACCACAGTGGTGAGATGTCTTTTGAACTACATGCACTATGGAGAACTACATTAAGCAGTGAAACAGTAATTAAAAATAGACCCRTCATGTCATCCAGATGATCTCTTGGCTGATGAAGTCTTTGGTATTTTATGCTTGTTATTTCTGGTCCTATTATAAATATCTACTTAATCAARTTGTACCGGAGTATCTGTCTGCTGCAGTACTTTTCAGGACTGGCAATATTTTTAGAGACAAGTGTTGGTTTCCTTTTTGTCAGGGACAGCTCTTCACTTCTGTCTTTATCTCCTTGGGCTGCACTAGCTCATTCCAGCTCATTCCAGAGGAACCCACTGAATTTAAGGGCATGTATTATGTTTGCCTTTAATTAAATAAATGCTTCTTGATACCTAGCCATGCCTTGCAATCCATGYAGAATCTACTGATTAAAATGGATCACTCTCGAAGTGTTTTGATTTCAGGAGCTGTAATTTTGCATGTAAAATGGCAGACTGTCAAACTCTCTGTGATAAAAYGACAGAAGTGGCTGATCTATGCTCTGGCAGTCCCAGTGATTCTCTGACACCAGGTGGAGCCTGTTCTTATTTTGAACTGCATCCAGCCACGACATTTATCAGGTGGAATTGCTTTTWGGTAGMAACWGTTTCAGTGGCTCCAGCACTGCAAGAAATCCAATCTGCCTGAGAGCTCACCATGCTGTACCTGGCCTCCCAGCACTCTGTACTCATCACCTAAAGAACAAATTACCATCCCTGTTTCACTTAAGGAAGCCCTTCAGTCTGAACCCATTGCTTGATCTGAAAGGTTTTCTGGTTGGTATGTATCAGGGCTGGGGGAGAAGGAGAGAATTTCTCACYTTGAAGTGGATGAGTTAACATAGTTCTTACTGTTTCCAGCCTTAGGCAACCCAAAGGAGTGGGGCAAGACTCAGAACAGACAGACTGTCATAAATCTGTGTGGAGAGAACGTGTGGGCTGGCTGGTGTTTGAATTCAGCACTTATCCCCACCCTGCTGGTGGGGCTGAGGAGGGCAGGGAGCCCATGAGCCCAATGGCCCAGGCAGAGCAGGGCTGGAGCAGGCTGCCTGGCACTGATCTCCTGAGGTTTTCAGYGTCACCCAGGACAGAGACTCCGCAACCTCTCTGGGCAGGCTGTTGCAGTATTTCGTCACCCTCACTGTAAAAAACACAGATGTTTTGTCCACTGCCATGAAAGTTCTCTGTTCCCTGAGTCCCAAGACAGTGCAGGTTTCCAGGTACTGGGATTTGAGGAGGAAATAACCATGTATTTAGCACATTCTTTTGTAGCAAACACAGGGGTGGWGTCTTCGACATACCTGGTACCGGTCCAGAGCAATGGCAGCAAGAGTCAGCACAGACACGTGGACAGAGCAGTACTGAACAAAGCGGCTGACGTGACACATCAGCTTTCCAAAAACCCAGGTGCTGCTCACAAACCGAACCTGAAAAACAGACAACACCAGATTAAGGGGAGCAGTACCAGAAGAGAAGCAAATTGGCTTCCCATGTGCTTGGTACAGAAGAAATGCTTTAATACAGATTTCTGAGGCTTTGGAGTTGCTTTATCCTCCATTTTTCCTCAGGAAACAGCACCTGTGCAAGAGGCTCTCAAACTGAGGTGAGATTTACTACACTGTGCAAAAAAATGTCTTGAACAGTGCTCTGTGTATGTTGTGTATATGTGTACATTTGTACATTTACCATGGCCCTTCTGGAACACATAAAGAAACCTTAGCTCTGCTCCTCAATGAGGCTCTGCAGGGTACACTAGGCATCTCCTTGAAAACATTTACGTTTTTCAACATGTGGATGCTGAAAGCTGCATGCTCTCCAAACTTAGTGAGAGAAATCCATGGGAAAATTTCTCACCTGTTCCAAGAGAGGTGTTACTGATGGAGACTTCTCTGCAGAGGAGAGTGTGCCAATTGCCTCATTCCCTTGTTATTCCTGACTGTGCAATATTAATTACAAATTAATGTAACTCATTTTGCAGCAGATTAAGCTAATTTGAAGTAAAGCACATTTACTACAAAGCATCCATCCAAACAGAAAATTAGCCAAGACTAGCTAATCTGTTTTCAATTAATCTAATTAATTTCCCWACAGGGACAACTCTCACAACACTGGCTGTCACTGAACAGGAGCAGTGGGCTGGTTCTCTGGAGCTGATGTAAAGCTTGTTCCTGAGAGAGCTGACAGAAATTTAATTACAAGTGCCTAGTGTGGCTGTTGGTGTGCGAACACACAAGAGGGCACCAGGCTCTCCCTGAACAGAATACAGGATGCAAATCCCATCAGAGCAAGGTAGGGAAATCCCAAAGAAAAGAATATCAGTTTACAAAAGAATATGACCAAAGAAACAATATCAGTTTACGAAAGGGTGAATTCAAATAGTTATTTCAAGTCCTGCTTCTGGAAGGCAGAAGAACACTGTACAGCAGTGGGCACGGATGAAGCAGGAGGATTTTGAACAGAAGTGCTGGGTCAAATCCAGGTGCAGAGTGCTGTTTACATGGCATTTATTGTCTGTGACAGTGGGGCAAGAAATGAATCTTTAATTCTTCTCACCTCATTCATTTAATGTTCTTTTATATTACATATTATTTGGCCATTAAAAATTTAAAAAGCACAATTAGTCCCAGAAAGCACAGTCTCTAGTGACTGAGGGAGGGACATGCCACTGACACTGTTCATTGCAGCCTGAGCACTTCCCTGAGATATTGCACAAGTACTAACCTGGTTCACGTTGTTTCCATAGGAAACCGGCCATTCATTGGATTTTCTCATGTCAACYTGACCCCACTTCCTTCCCCATCAACAGGCAAAAAGGGCTCCCAGATCTGTGCCTTGCTCAGGCAGAGGGGGAAAGCTACAGCAGAGTGATCCCCACAGTGAACTGCGAGGTGGGAGAATGAGCCCCCAGCTCCACTTACTCAAGGGGTGTTGGGGATGGGGGGCATGACTGCACCCTCTCCAGAAAGCAAAAAGGGAAGCGGGGCAAAAGAAATTGTGAATAACACCTGGTCCCAGCCCATTCAATCCTACTGCACACAGCTGACAGGCACACACAGACACCAGCAGGCACGGCCAGACAGCACTCACCAGTGTGAAGGGGGTGTTCAGAGTGGTGATCATCACATCAGCAATGGCCAGGTTGACGATGAAGAGGTTGGTGGCAGAGTGCATCCTCTTGTTCTTGATCACCACGTGGCACACCAGGATGTTGCCGAAGAGTGAGATGCAGATGATCACAGAGTAGGCAACGATCAGCAGCGCTTTCACTGTCCGGCTCTGGGACTCACCCTCATACTTAGCTCCTCTGTCAAAGTCCCCCAGGTCCTCCAGGTCCAAGTCACCATCAAAGAAGGATTGGTTAGGGAAGCCGTACAGTGCAGAGAAGAAGTTGCTTGTGTTGTGCGTCTCCACTCTCCAGAAGGGTTTGGGCATGTRCTGCAAGGGGAACCAGGTGTGCCAGCTCATGGCTGGGGCAGCTGAGCCTTGGTGCAGCCACACACTCCTCAGTGCCTTCTGCCAGCTCAGCTGCTAAAGCCAGTGGTTGCAGGAGGGAACACACACCTTTGCATTTTAAAAATCAGCCCTGTGGTTGAAAACTAGTGCAAAGACTTGATAAATGGGTCCTTTTGCCTGTGCTGGGGACACATCAGCTTTGCCTCGGAGGCTCCCTGTCAGCTGTCCTTAAGTCCTATATGTCCCCCACAAAGAAGCTGATTCAGAGGCTGAAATATCAGAGATCCTTAAACACTTTCTCTCTGCACCAAGGAAGAAATCTTAGTGAATATTTCCTTTTGGGCATTGTTCTTCTACAATCTGCAACATATCCTTGGAAATCTGCTTTACTGGTTCTCTACACAGTCCTTAATCCATCAGGTTTTTGTTTTCCAAGAGTTTTCAGAKCTTGACAGAAACAAGAAAAGCAAGGGCTGCCTTTCACTTTGCTTTCCCCCTTCTAAGTATCTCTGACTACTCATTGAAGCAGCTTTGCTTGGCAGCAGAGTGGTCCCTGTGTTCCCTGATATACACAGCTGCCAGATGACACACCGCACGGGAAGGAGCCAATGGCAGATCTCTTCCCAGTTTTTCCTGAGGTGTATCACAATCCACACGTGGGCAACGGCACAGCCTGACATGTGCAGATCTAGAGAGCAGRAAGACACAGATGGAGGGTGGATGTGCTATCATCTCCCCCATCTGCTCTCTATTCTTCTCTGGACACTCAGCACAACAGCTACATAGGGGTGAAGCACCTTCACTAATTTACAGCATCTCTCTCTTCATCTCAGAGTTTTAACAGAGAACATCTGAGGTTCACTGCCTCCAGAAAGCACCCAGCTTTGTGCTTGCCCCCAGCCTTCCCTCTCTCAGGTGATGCAGAGGATGGAGTGACAAGTGAAACACAACCTGACAATAAGAGCAGCAGCCCAGCATGCCCGAGGGGCTCCGAGGRTGGACATTACACTCTGTGTCCCGGCTGGGCTGGGGCCAGCGCTGAGCCCCGGGACATTCAGGCACTCACAGGCATTTCTGCAGCAGCCTGGCAGAGGCTGGGGGGACACACAGGGCTCATCCCTGCACTCCTTTGCTGTAGGGCCATGACAGGCTCCTTTGCCTTGTTGGCTGCCCTTTCCTTGCTGTGCATTAGGAGGATGAGGGGGCAGAGCAGCACTGGTCACACATGCACAAACCCAGCAGTGGTGAGGTGTCCCAAGTGCCAGAGGTGGCTGATCTCATCTCGTATTCCTGCAGAACAGATTTATTCTGTCACAGGTACAAACATTTTACCAATCACATGCTGGTTTGCTGCAGTTATTATTCACTTGCAAACATTCTGAGTCGCTTCAAGCAGGCTTTGGGGTTCATTATGCGTTAGTGGTAGCTCCACTCAGTTAGACAGAGAAAACAAGGGAGAAATGTACTTTTGCTAGCTCATCCAGGTGAATTGAGCCACCCTTTGTTTCTGTAGAAGACTTTTGACTTTCACATGCTGACACTACTTGAGACATAAATTTTTTGATTTTTTTTTTTTGTGAAATTATTTGGCATTTTTCTTTTTGGTGCTCTTTTGAAAAGAAATGTCAAATTGCTGAAATGTCAGTTAAGATGCAGATCCATCTACTGAACAGATCTAATGTGATCTCATAACCTCAACAGATCAATGTTGATGAGACCCAGAGTAATCAGAGCTATACTATAAAATTTCCAATCCTTTGGACATTAAAAAAACAGATTTTTCACAGGTCATTGCCACGGTTCATCACCTTTGCTCTTGAGGGCCAAGGGGGCTGTTGGCAACAAGTTCCTGAGCTCAGGGGGTTTGTGAAATCTCCTGTACTTCCCTGCAGGGATTTTTTCCTGCCTGACAGAGAGAAGTGAGATAATTCAGCAGTCACGCTCATTGCACAGCATGTAAAAGCATCCAGGGTCAAGGTGCTTGCGCTTGCACCTGAATTTAAGCTAATTTTAAGGAAATTACTTCTAAAGGTGATTCATCTCCATTATTGGACAGAATTTAATGATGAGGTAAATCATAATAGCAATGGAGACTTTCTCCCAGGCTGTTACCATGGGCTCAGTGGGTACACGCATTCAAATGCTTGTCCCTGCCTGCTCCCACGAAGATGTACAGAAAATGCTTTCATTACTGGAGTATTGAGCTCAAAAACTGAGTAAATTTGTCCCTGCAGATTCGTACATTTCATATTTATGAGGTGTATAAAGACCTCACAAGAGGGCAGACAAGAAATCCCACAAACTCAGGAACACTGCATTAAACCTCTTCCTAGTGCAGACATCCCCATCACGCTCTAAATGTCCATTTTTTGGTTTCTCGTCTTTGTCTCCATCCGTCCTTCCCTGAGCTCCACTCTGGTGCTGAGTGCAGGCTTCACACATCATCAGGAAAGGAGGGGAGAGCTGCTGGAGACAGAGTGCTGCTCCACTTTGGGTCTGCACTCAGGACACACAGAGTTGATGTCCAGAGCACCCATGGAGAAAGTGTCCAGCTCCAAGRGAATCCCCTGTCCTAAGGGCTGGGAGCCGCACTGCAGGGAGCAGGGAGCACACAGATCCTGGCAAAGCCTAAACCAAGCTCTGCTGGTGCAATAATGAGATTTTTGGCTTGAAAAAGGAAGTGTCTCTGCTCTGCCATTCAGAGCTGAAGGCAGCTGGAAGCAGACAGGAAGTTTCAGTTCCTGAGCCTTGTCCAAAGGGACAGAACTCAACAGTTGAAATTGTCAATTCCAAATGAGGAAAATTTAATTCAGTGTGTCTGTTGCACCACCAAAGCTTCTTGCAAGATTTCTCTTCCCTAGAGAGACTTATAGTTTAYACTTTTCTGCATTAAGTGCAAGTTTGATAAATAACAGAAACAACAAGAGCTATTGGCCAACCTGTAGAGTTTTATTTCACTCAAAATTAATAGAAATAAGAGTCTGGACAATACTTGGAAAACATTAATTTACAACTCTTTCTTTTTTTTCATATTTGCTTTAGTGCACTGAGATCACTGTTTCCCTCTTTGTTTGCAATGACTAGTCCTGCTTTTGTGACTCAGAAAATGTGGGACCAACAGGAACAGACCTTTCCTGAAACTTTTTTTAACTCCAATCCATACTGTAAATTGCCAGTGATCAGCTGAGTAGAAGAAATTACTTGGTCTTATCTTCTCCCCAACACTCAACATTCCACATTCCAGAAACACAAACACATTCCAGAAGAGTTACTTGGCAGTGGAAGTGTAATAAGACCACTTTTGTTCTTCTTTATTCTCGGTAACATGATCAACAAGAGTGAGTACCAAAAAAAAAAAAGTCAACCACACCCAGCTAAAATAAGCAAGGGACAAGAACATCTTCATGTGTTCCCTGTTAAGCAGAAGGAACACAGCTCAGCCAGACCCATTAGCAAGTGCTGAACCATTCACTGTCCTGGAAGAAACAGTAAAGTAAAAAAATGTTCTGAAAGACAGATAATGCCATTCCAAAGGACTGAATCACTGAGAATGGGAGTTCCTTGGTGCAGGGAAGYATTGGTTAGGGAAAGAAAAAATGCCAAAGTCAAACAACCCTAAAGGCTTTGCTTGATGAAGCAGCCTGATGAGACTTCACCTGCTTCCAGAACACACTTTTTAAGGTAATATCATTCATTTCTTTAATACTGGTGAATCTCAAGGAGCAACGACGTCACCAGGGCTCCAGTCATCATCATAATTATTTTYCTTCAAAGACTACCATTGTATCTGGGCTCTCAGCTTGGAAGAAATGCTTGAAAGGAGGTAACTGAAAAAGAGAAAGAAATAAAGTTTGAGACAGTATTATCTTTTGTAACAGTCAGAATTGGAAAAGAAATACAAAAGTTCATGAGAGGTTTCCTATGTGAGAGGTTTTCAACAGACTACAAAATCCTACATTTTTTTTTTTTTCTGCTTTTGGTTACTTAAATTAAGTAACCTTYTCTTTAGGCTGGACAGACTCGGGCATTAATCAAGCACAGGCAGCTTCTCTGAGGGCGTATATCTCCTCTGGTAATCAATAGATCACGACTGCCATTGCAACTGTCCTGAAATCATTTGGGGGGAAATGGAGAGGATGCAATCTGGGGAGTCAAATGATCCAATTTAGAAATGTTTCTCTCCACTCACTTCTTAGTGATTTGGTTTGGGTTATTACTTCACTCTAGAATGGGTACACTGAGTAACAAGGGAAAAATAAGGAAGGAAAAAAAAAGAAATAAGGGAGAAAAAAACCCAGCATCCCAGAAGTTCCAAAGGTGCTTGAGGACTGACCCAAAACACAGAGAAATGCACCTAATTTTACAGAAGTAGCTTAGAAGTTTACACTGCTRKGTCTGTCTTTAGCTCTAATCCTGARCCCTTTGAAATGAATGGCATTCTAATTGTTTGTGTTTTCCTAAATTTTCCCCGAATTTAGCCCCATGAAAGATCTAAAGTAATAATCTGTTTGGGAACACGCTGTCTCCTTTCATACACTCAGAACAAYAGCACCTCTAACACCGGCCAGAAAGGTTTTATGCATCTGGACACTGGGGTGTACCTCATTTGCACATAAAATTCACCTCCAAAAGGTATTATGAAATTTTAATTATAGTCAATCTGAAGCAAAGTGGCCCTGAATTACATCCAAACTTCTCCCAAGCTGGGCAGGGTTTTGTGCCTGGCAGTTACACAAACCTCTTCTGCTGCCAGCTTAACGGGATAATGCTCAAAAACCTTGAGACCCCTGAGTGAAAAAGGCTATTAGTTCAAAGGTTCTATTATCAACAACAGTGCCTGAATTGCTGAACCTCAGACCTAGCACAGAATGTCTCCCTAACCAAATATCGTCTCTTTCTGMATCATTGGAACATTTGTGTGAGTCAACCTGAAGCAAAACAACCAGCCCTGCACACAAAGGATGCCTTTCTGCCCCCTAATCCATAGTGCAGCTTTGACCCATGCAGGGCAAGGAATTCTGAAGCCAGTGTCGAGCTGCTGGAGGTGGAGTAGTTGTAAGCATAAGCAGCCAGCCAAATTTGCAAGAACAATGAAAATGTCCCCACGTGTRTGAAACAGAAATCAAAGAAACTACTTCTGCATAAGCATTTGGTTTTCGATTTTTTTTTGTGGTTGTGTCTTTTTGCTACAAGAAAGCAGGCCAAATAGAGGCAAAAGCAGCCTTGAATTTCTGGCCCCCACCTTGCTCCATCTGTTRCTAATTAGCATCTTGTACAATGTGACTTTTTCCTGTTTTCTGTGCAGCCAMATTCTCAGAGCTTACACACCAGACATGGAAGCTGTGCTAATATCTGTGCTAAATGCTCTGATAGCCAAGAAAACATCGCAGGTGTTGGTGAGGAGCATCAACACAAACTCAGATTGTTTGGAGAGTGCATTGGCAAGGGCTGGGAAGGGTGACCCAGGCCTGGCACCCACAGCCATGGGCTAGGGCAACTGGCCACAAACCCAGACAAACAGAAGAAGTTGATGCTGTCAGGGCAGCAGCCATGCACAAAAACTGCATTTCATATTTCTGAGGCTCCTTTGGGACCATCCTTCCTTCAAAAGCCCTGCAGGMTTTTCCTCAGTGAGTTCTCACATTCTCTGTGCTGTGCTCCACAGACTCAACTRATCACATTTGCCACAGGCAGTATCACTGTAACACACACTCCGGAGCCAGAGAGGGGCTCACTCAGTAGGAACAGAACAAATTATTTCAGTCTTCACAGAGGTTTGGMATCAAAATTTCAACTGGAACAGGTAGATGACCTGCTTTTTTTATTACACAATGCAAACCAGAACCTCAGAGAAGCCCAGCTGAGCTCTGTCATTTGTGGCATCCTACCCTGCAGTCAGAATTTGTTGTGCTAGGTATTAATCCAGTCAAGGTTTGTTGCCCTTCCAATCCACAGTGTGATGTTTATTTGCCAACACCTTGAGACAAGATATCCAGGGATCACTGACGTTCCTCCCTGCAGTTTGGTAATTTATGTATCTTYAGCATACAGAAAGCTGGCAGGCGAGGGACAGACCCAGAAAGGTGAAGGATAAGTTCAGAATGTGCTTTATGACTTAACACCCTGTTCCATCAAAATCATCATCCGCTCTCTGATTCCAGATTCTTGGTTACAGGAACATGTCCAGGTACAAACAGGCACAAKACCCAGATGTGGTATTGCCATGGCAACGCACTTGTAAAACAAATTTGCTGTTTTTCTAAGATTCACCATCTAGAAAGCAGCAGCAGTAAAGCTGGATGTTGCAGATGACTCCGAGAACTGTTCAATGGAGCATGTAGAGCACCAAGTAACCCTGGGAGAGGTGGTCAGTGGGACAGATCCTGGTGGGTAGGCAGRGATGGAACCCACGAAGCAGCCATTGCCATGAAGCACTACTGAGGCATGAGGTTATAGAAGGACAGCTAAATAATGCAGCAGAAAGCAGCCTAAGGAAAAGGATTCTCAGCAAAGCCCTAACAGAACATGACTGTGTAGCTAAAGAGCTGTCAGGGGTCACAGACCAAGGGCAGGAGCCACATGGCTCAGGACACAGGAATTTGATTATTTCTGATTGAATATGGGCAAAGTCTGAGGAGGTGTCTTGTTTGATTGGGTAATRTTTGGGCAAACTGGAATGAGAAGAGTTTGAAATCTTAGTTCCATTTTACCTCACTACTAAAAATCTTCCAAATTAGGATATAGTTTATGTGTCAACAATACTGATGAAACGCTGGGTAAGAATGAAATTGCTGTCTGAAATGTGGTGTAAAAGGCCAGCATCACCTATTACTATTTAAATTCCCAGAAAATAAAGAAGCAGCTGCAATTTATTCCCAAAMACTTGTTTAACCTCTTGAGATGCCAGCTACCTCCTTACAGATCCTGAGGTCACAGCAAGAAGGCATCAGCCATTATGTCAACTGGGCATTTCAAGTGTTACTGTCGCTCAGCTTGATGATTCCAGACCCTTCTGCACAGCCCCTCCACTTGAGACCAGTCTTCAGGCTCTCAACAYGACTGAAGATGATGACTTACCATGACCTCAGTGATTTAGCTGAGTTTCTCAGTGTTAAAAGTTGCTCCCATCCTGATTCACTGCAGACRGTGATTTGATGCTCGGCTACACGATCAGCCTTTTGGGAATTTGCTGCTAATGAAACACTGTAATCAGTTTTATTAAATCTTTGTAAAGCTTCACTCCAGGGAAATCACATAACTCAGCTATAGCACCAGCAATCCCAGAAGGTTCCTCATAAAGCAACTGTGAAACCTGGTATTTTTACATCTAAAACTTGCAGTTCTGCCATAAATCTGTGTATTCCATTCACTGAGGACAAAAACAGGACCCATGAGGRTCTGTTTCCAAGCTGTGCATCTAGAATATTAACAAAAGCATAAAAGTCATGACAACCACCCAAGGGTGGCTCCTCACCCACTCGGCTTCTCAGACAGGCAATCAGCAGTGCCAAGAGATCCTGGCCCAGGTTGGGCCCAGGCTGCAGAGCTGCAGGAAGAGCAATTTCCCCCTTCTGCTGCCTTRAAACAAGGGAATACATTTATACTCATCCCTTTGTCTCAGTGCAGGCCCAAAACATTTTTGATCTATTTTTTAACAAGMCAAGGGGTAGAAAAATAAAGGATTTCTTCTTCATTCTTATTTCACATAGCATAGCTAGTAAAATGTCCTGGGACTGATGGGTTTGGAAACCTCTGGTTTGCATTAGCAGCTGAACTAGGCCTGAATTTGACCAAAGAGCATCCATATTCAGAGTATTCAGCAGCCCTCAAGCTCTTCACCAGGCTTAATGAAGTGAAATTAAAGAAAAACAATGAGCTTTGTCCTCACTGCCAAAGGAAAAGACAGCTGGAAATATGCAGGGGCTGGATATGAATTGAACATGATTAAGTGTGTGAACCATTGTTCTGAAGAAAATGGTGCTGTTATACCTAAGGAGCCCCCAGCAGTCCTTTGTCATTACAGCCAATTAGCTGCTTTAATTGCCTCTGAAAGCCACCCAGAGCAGATTGCCTTTATGCTCTTTCCACTTTAAAACCAGGCACAGAAATAYGTAAGCACTAAACCTGCATCCACTTGAGAAATGGGGATTCAGGGGAGGGAGCTGGACAGGCATTTCATAGGAAAAGGCTCCGTACTTGACCTGCAGGGTGATGGGACTGTGGGATGTGTGGGCACACACAGGGTGATGTTACTGGGATGTGGGGGCACAGCTGACACTGGAAGGTGGCTACACAGAACTCTGGTCCCACCACCTACCCCCAGTTTGGCCCCCAGCAGGCAGCTGAGGCAGAGAGAACGGGGACCAGGAGGTGCCTGACCCCAACCCAAAGGCACCCTGGGGCTGGAGAGGGGGAGGCCAAGAGCAGAAGGATGGGTCACAGCAAGGCTGACAGTGGGACAGAGCTCATCATGGCACTTGATGGGGTTCTCACAATGGCATGCAGGGCCCTGAACTTGTGTCTGCCCACTTACTCATCAAAAAACAGCAATCCAACTATAAATTAACAAATTTTTTCTGTATTCTTAATTGATTGAAAAAACTGAAAATATTATCTTCTCCTTCACATTAATTAAATGAATGGCTCACAGTTTCTTGGGAGACAATTCCCAACTTGGTTCTGGCAATGTAGCAAGACTCGAATCTGGCCTAAGGTTCTGCTAGGAAAGACCAGCTGGAGCAGTTCTGGAGTGAAAAAATGTCTCCTTTCCTCCTTAGGAGAGTATTTCAGGACCTTTTTTAATCATTACTTGTCTGCAGTCAGTTCAAAGGGTCCTTGGATCTCTCCTGGATGGACATTCTCTTTCCAGAGGGCTGAGGAGAATATATTAAGAGGTCAGGGCTCCAGCTTTCCCTCCTCAGCTTCTAGAAGTACAGTGCACAATTGAAATGATGCCCCAAAATCTTTGCTGTGGACAAGGATCCAGCCCCTGCTCCAAGTACACAGCCCAATGTCTGAACATGGCTTTCAGAGCCCAGAATTCTTTTGAGACATGAGTTTGAATCCATCATCCAGGATGGATCTCCGATTGCGTCGTAACCTCTTTTGCTTCTCAAGGCGGATGACTGCTCCCAGGAGGACRCCAGCGGCCACAAGCAGCAGGACTCCTACAACAGCCAGAGAGATGACTGTAGCCTCTATCTGCTCTTGGGTCACCTTAGATCCAAAAAGCTTCATCTTCTGGGACTCATCCTCATCCTCAAGTGCCAACCCTGAGATACAAACAGAATGGTATTTTCAACAAGAGCCAGCAACACCAGAACTGAAAGGTTGCAAGAAACACAAYGAAGGAGAAAATGGAAAACTTAATGCAAAGTAGTGGGATCACTATCCCTGGAAGTGTTCAAAAGATGTGTAGATATGGAGCTWAGAGACATGTTTCAGTAGTAGACTTGACAGTGCTGAGTTAATGGTTTGACTCAATCATCTTAGAGGTCTTTTCCAACCTTACTGATTCAATGATTCAGAGGAGGCCCTAGTGTCATCCATCTGTCAGACCCTCATGCCCAGGCACACAGAGATTTGAGATGGATGGTTCCTTCCTTAACCTGCTCCACCCCAGAACCTGTGTCTCACAGTGTCCAGCCCTGTCAGCCACTGCTGTCCCCAGCCCTGGGATGAAAACTTGTGTCCAGGCTGRGGCTGCTGCAAGTTCCCCCAGTCCGTGCTACCTGTGCCCAGTGTGGGTTACACACAACCGAGTGGCCACGGTGAGCCACCAAGATCCTGAGCTTGCTTGTGCCTCCACCTCCTGAGAAAAGGGCCTGTTTGCTCAGGCAACTGCTGGCCAAGGTTTCTGCCTGGTGAATACACACAAGCTGATGCCTGCATATGGTATAAAACCAAATTATTTAATATTGCCACTACCGCTCTCACATATTTCCTACTCCTCTTCTGGAGTGCCCTTTTTGAGTGAGGAAAATGTTTGGGAGGAAATGTTGGAGTTGTAGGTAGGTGGCTGCCTTTGCAGCTGGCCTGAAGTGGCTGTGAAATCAGCTCAACTGAATTACTTCACAGCAGCTGAAAAATGAAGTTGAGAAGAAAGATGAAAACTCAGGAAAATAAACCACCAGTGTACACTACTCAGACTTCTACCACCAAAAATTTCAAAGGGATCATATCTACTACTCCCCTTCTCCCTGGTGCTGCTCAACCAAATGTCTTCTCACATCTGTTCTTTACAACACCTGAAAAACTCCAGGCACATGCTCAGGCTCTTTTCTCAGGGGAAGAAGCAGAAGGCAGATGTGCTTGTTTGCATGCTGACTCCATCCCTTCGGATTGCAGCGGTGATTGTGCAACTTCCCTAAACCAGAGTCACTGACAGTCCAAGGAGGGAGGACAACCCATCCCAGGCACCCTCCTCCAAATCTCTGCCAGTGCCCAAGCTCATGCTCCGAATCTGAATGCACACATAGGAGGCACAACAGGGTGCAAGGTCACTAACCTTTTCCACCCAACACAGGCAAACAAGCCTAACCAGCCCAGTGTATTTCTTTTACCAGACGACAGACTGGTGTCCTCCCTGTTATCTATTGAAGCAAGGCCTTGCACCAAGGCACTGCCAGGATGGCTGAGGCTGCAGGTGCTGTGTGCACTCCTCCCTCCCCTTGCACAGATCCAAACCTCTGCATTGCTCAGGGACCTGCCCTCTCCCCTTCCCACAGATAGGGTTTGGCAGTGCTGTACACACCATACCTGGGGTGACACTCACATCTTCCAGCTCCGACTCTGAAAGGAAACAAAAGGAGGGTGAGAAGGTGTTGGGCTGAGCAGGCAAAGCCCAGAACAGGACACATCTGGTGAGGACTGGATATAGAGGCAGCATGGCTTTCCAGGACTTCSTTATCCTGTCAATGTTTTCCCTCTCTACATGAGAATTTTTTGTATCACCTGCTTCAGAGGCAGCCCAAGTCCCACCAMACAAGCTTTCCCAGCCTTCAAAAGAAAAGTGCTGAGGGAGAAACAGAGATGGCCCTGCAGGCACTGGTACCCAYAGAGGAACCACTGGGGCTGTCACTGTTTTGGTAATAAATCTAAAACCACATCACCATGTGGACTTCATTGCAGCCAAGCCCATACTGAGTGCCACTCACCTCTGAGCACCTTCCAGTTCTTAGTAAGAACAATTACTGGCTGAGAGCTGAACATGACAATTTAGACACAAGCTGAAAACCAAACTCAGAATAACAACATAGCTAATGTAAACTCCAGAAAACAATTAGTTAATAACTCCAGATCAAAGTATTACCATATTCAAAATTCAAAATCATAATTTAACAGCACTTAAGTAATTATCTGCTCCATTAACTGGCTTTTTATAGCATGTAAGAGAGTTGTGATACAAACACTCAGAATTTCAGAGCAGCAGCAGCAGGAAGTGCTGCTTGGTGTTTTACAGTGACAGCTCCCTACCTCCTCTAGGCAGGACAGTGAAGAGGATCTCCATCCCAGCATGGATATGGTCAGACACATGACAGTGAAGCAGCCAYGTCCCTGGGTTCCCAACCAGCATCTCCACCATTTCAAAGGTCCCAGGGAACAGATCCACAACATCTGCTCTGTAGCTTTTGCCATTCTGTCAGAGAAGGGAGACCATTAGCTGCAGTGCCCACTTGTGCATCTTTGCAGGAAGAAAATTCTGCCAGTGTTACTGGGGACTACTTCAGCTTTTTAAATCTCAGGAAAAGAAAAAAAAAAAAAAGCTTTCAAAGAGCAACTCCAGAGCTGCAGCTGGGAAAGCAAACAATGTGGTAATGCCTAACCCCAACAAGGACTAAACTGGACATCTCAGCTCAACACCAAAGCTCAGGGAGGCAGACTGGGAGGTGTAAAACCACATCTTCTCCCTAGCTTGTGAAGCTTCTGTGGAGTCATGAAAAAAGGCTGAAATCCAGAGACAACTGAAAGTGTTGGTATCAGTGGTCAGTACCTGTTTTACGGCAGATATTCTTACCTTGTATATGAAGGTCTCAGCATGAAAATGGACTGTGTGGACATCAACCTCGTGACCCATTCCCAGCAGGTACCAGCTCACCCTCTCTCCCTGGTACATGGTCAGCCCAGGCAAGKTGGCATAGAGCCTGCCATTGATTGCTGTGCAGTGAGTAACACAGAGGGGAAAAGGCTGTCAGTGAAACTGCATGGGAGCTGCACCACCTCAGAGGAAGGCAGCTGCAAAGCTCATATAGCACCCAGTGCATCAGCAGTTAGTGTCCCCAGCTCAGCTACTTATCCACTCTGCTCACAGCCAGGAAAGGTGACTTTCACTCAAGGCCACACTGTAGCTTAGCTCAAATAAATCTCAAAAATTACCTTTATTAAAAACCTGCAGTCAGCCAGCAGAAGTGGCTGTTTCTAGGAGCTAAGATGCCTAAAAATGGCATTTTCAGCTCAGTGATGGAGAAACATRTATATGCCTACATACACAAATGTCTGAGCAATTTCCTCGATGAACAGTGCAAATGGGTAAATCCTGCCAGTGGGCAGCCCTGTGGTGCTGTGCCTCAGGCTGGCCACACACATCACATTCCCACCACTTGTAAAATCCCTGCATGGCAGGATTTTATCTCTCAAGCAGCACAGCTGGAAGGAATGCTGCTGTGACTGCACATGCAGGAAAGGGATCAAAACAGTGAGTGAACTGACTGCCTAGGCACACACATGGAAACTTTCATGCTCAGATGACAGAGAGAATAAGATGAAAAGGGGCATGATCTGAAGGCAGAGTGCCAGGGTTTTACTCCCAGGTCTGCCCTGAGCACCTTGTGTAGCCTAAAAACAAGCAACTTCAGCATGCTGGTTCTGCTAGCTGACATACTGGGTTAACAATTACACCTTCATGGACACATATTTGGAGAGTCTTTATGTCACCCATAAAAAAACAGTAGTAATGATGGTACACAAAATGCAACTCCTCACTATTCTTATCTTCAATACTGTCAAGGGACCTGTTTTGCCAAGAGTATTTTAGATAGATCCAGATATGATATGGAAATAAACTAACATAAATAACATGCTAATTTAAACAAATGTGTTCATCCTTCTCTGGTAGAAATAGCTTTTTGATAATCAGCTAAAACAACTGAGCCAGGTATTACAGCCACATAGCTCAGAAAATGAATTTAAAGTCTAATATACTCTGATGGTCCCCGAGACAAACAGAATTAAATTTGTCTGACAAGATAATTTCATGTTTGATTTTATTTCCTTTTCTGAGTCACTCAGACATATCAGAGATTAACCTCTCTGGCCTAGATGTTGCTATTCCTCTGTACAGAGACAACCACAATGATCAGCCTTCACTGCAGATCAAAGATTTGGCCTGTAGGTGTGTTGCAATATTGAGAACAGACAGCTTAATTCTGTCTGTGCCACTGATAATGGAAAAGGATGAGGACATTCACCACAAGTCATGCTCCTTACTTAGAGAGGGTACAGAATCAACACCAACATTACCGTGCATTTTGTTGCTCTCCACRAATTTCTCATCCAGCAGGTCGATCTTGTCATTTCCCTTACTGAAATGTTCCACATTCTCCTSCAAGTACCAGGACTCATTTTCATCAAAAACCAGGAAGAGCAGAGCAAACTCCCTCTTTATGTCCTTCCTGGTTCCATCAGACCGCAGGGCCCCTCTCCGGCAGACCTTCAGGGGCCCGATCAGCCCACTGTACATATCCTAATCAAAAGGAAGGAGAGTTCTGAGGCAAAGACCTTCTCACCCTCTTTTGTGCACCCTCTTTGCCTTTCAGCAATCATTTTCTATTCCTGATTCACCCCACTCAGAACAACCAGTGCTCCCATGCAAGTATTCTTGCTGGAGAGCATCAGCCACTGAAGCAYAGGAACAGGAACTGTATGTGCTCTTCTAAATGCAAATCCAAAAGTTATAAATATGAATGGTATCAAAACATTCTCCACTCTGTGACTGTGAAAACATCTGCAACTTGAGATTAAAAAAGCCATTATTTCTGGGGTGAATACAATGRTTTATTGCAGGATGCTCCAGGTTGTTGCCCTGTGAAATCAGGGCTATGACAATCAATCCTAGCAATGATCAAATCTGCCTGCTTTATTACTCATTTTGGACCATTTCTGCCTTTCTTGATTAGTCTTAYGGCTCTCACCAGTAGAAACCATTATCAACAGGAAGATGTTCTARTATCTTACAAATAACTGGAGGAAAGTTAGTAGCAAGGAGAAACAGTGGAATTATTTTGCAAATGTTTGTTAGGAAAAAATAAGGACAACCATCAGGACAAATTCAGAAGATTTCCTCTCCAAAGGGAACATGTCACCAGGTGATTCTTCCAGCCCTTAGCTAGGCTAATGTCTAAATTGAACCCAACTCACATTGTTTTCTAAACAGGGTAAAAAATTGGTCTAATTAGGCTTTTCTGGTTGTAAMTTATATTTTACCTTTACTGGGTCCACCGAGGAGTAGTAGATCCAAGGAACACAGGCTGAATCATTTGGCCCTGGACCAGATCTCTCAGGAACTTCCCACCGGTATGTRACAATGTCACCTGAGGGACAGAGCAGCACAGTACACGAGGTGACACACCCACTCACTAAGCAGCAGCAAAATCGAATGGAAAAACAAAATCCCGTCTCCAGAACCCAAATTCAATTCCCTGTTTGTCAGATATTGCATCTGCCTTCCCCACATACAAAGCAGGGTGGAAGCTCTCCTCTCTGAGGAAGACAGACATGGTCTGGTACCAGCACAACTGGTTTATCTGCTGCTTTTGAGACTGGACCTGACCATGGAAATGACATTGGAATGACCATGAAAGCTCATTCAGATGGAGCTTAAGATAATCTTTCTTCTCTTTGAAGGATATTTATGATGCTGATGCAAATCACTCTTTTTCATATTAGCAATCCATTTCACAAACAAAAAAGGATCTGACTGACAGCCTGGTTGTGACTTGGACAGTCTGTGAGAGTTGGAGGAGACCAAAAATGAAATGCATTGGTATCTGGATCATGAGACAAGGGGACCATTTCAGTCAGATCCCAGCAAGCAATTGTGCATTTCTCCTATTTCATACTATTTTCATACTTTTGTGCTCATGCATCGCAAAGGAGAGGCTTCCCCATCCCACGATTGGCTGAGCTGTCACCTAGCATCACCTTCCTCTTCCCACAGCCAGACCACACTCAATGTGAAGGGAATAAGGCTGCCCACACAAGAATGTCCTACACAAGTCCCAGACAGCCCCACACAAATGGTGTCACTAAAACCATGCTGGACCTGAAAGACCAGTAAATATTTAATTCCAGCATTCTACTGTAAGAAAACCAGGACATCTGAGGCTGCTTAAGGAAACCAGTCTGCCTCTGGGCTAAAGTCAGCTGCCCAAGCCCACACAGGAATGCAACCAGAGACAGGGACCTACCAGGGTTTGCCACTTGTGGATGTCCAGTCTGCTGCTCCAGCACCCCGTGTGCATGGATGGAGTAGGGCCGAGAGGCGTTGTTCTTGAACACAATGTTGAGAATATCGCCCACTTCCACCCACAGAAAAGGGCCTTGAGACAGGAAGAATGTACTATGAGACCAGCAAAATCCATCAGTGCATCTCCTGGGATATTTCCACCCCTCTCTCAACATCTCCCCAGAAATACTACCTTATAATATTTATGATGTTCCCCCTCCTCTTCTCTACCTCCCAAGAAGAGAACTAGATGTCAGTCCCAATCCCAGTCTTAGGAAACTGGACTGAGTTTCACAATGAGGGCAATGAAGGTGGTTACACATCTCAACTGGGCCCAGCACAGCTAAGGCTTGATTTCTGAATATTGCTATGCTAAATGTCACATGTTGATCATCCCTTGTTATTGCTTTCAAAAAATGTGGTAATATTCAGCTGAGCCCTAGTGTGTCACAAATCACTGCTGCAACCTGTTTTGAGTGGCAGATGCTGCCTCAGCCTGGCTGCCCTGACACCACTTACAGCCTTGGGTCTGTAACACAGAGTTCTGTCTCCGCAGACCTCCATTAGTCAAGGCAAAATGCTCCTCCACCTCCCAAGGCTGCCTGCTTTTGCCCCAGAAGCATTTCTCACAGCTACAGATTTTCCCTCCATCCCTGAGATCCCTCTCCAGAAGTCAGTGSTTGTTTCTGTCCCATAGTCAGAGAAAGGCAGCTGTGAAACATGCTTTGCCTGTGCCATGACAGAAAACTGGTGCAAAGGCAAGTGGGAGAGCCCAGGCTTTCCTACAATCTGTGCACAGAATCCTTCTAACTGTTGTCTCCAAAGCTGGCAGATGTGAGTAGGAGACAGTCCCAATTGCTCTGCACTTACATACACAGYAGATGCCTAAATATCCAGTGAGACTTCAGATTACACCTGTGAGACACTGCAGCTTTAGAGCCCCAGTCCCACTGATGTGTGAGAGGAAGGTGAACCCTCTGAACATGTCCTTACCCAGTATCCCCAGGTGYTCTTCACCATTTATCCTGGCTTTGGGGGTTTGGAAAGTGCCATCCATGTATTCYCTGTAAACTGCTTTCTTGTACTTGGAGCCGAGCAGTCCATTCTCGTTGTTCAGAAACACGTCAGCATAGCTGAGAAATGTAGAATGAGTGCTRAGATAACCAAAACCTCATGGGGAACAAACAACTAACTTGTGTCAGGGGGTTCACGAGCTGAAGGGGCTTCCCAGAGCGGGCTTGGGCTGCAAAGGAGAGCGTAATAACGTGGAGGGCTGCGCTCCCATAGCAGCACCACCAACATATGCACCAGGTCACAGGGTGCCCAAGACACCTGACAGGCTCCACCATGGTCTGTTGGGACACTGCCACAGGCTTCCCCAGAAGATGGGCTCTACCTCTCTGCAGAGTGGTTGTGCCGTTCCCTCTCCCAGCTGCGGTCGGGTGCGTAGTCCCACAGCATCTCCTCGGCYGCGATGTAGAACGTCCGCACTCCCGAATACCGACGGGCAGATGTAGTGCCCGTCTTTCCACACTTGGAAACGACGTACTGTTCCCTCATCCCAGACTGGTAGTGATTGCTCGTCTGGCAGTAGATCTCAAAAGTCCCTGAGGGGGGCAGGATGAACATGGAAATTAGTTTTGAAGTTTTGAAGATTCCAGGAAAYAGCTGCTTCCCTGGCCGGTGTCAGTTTGTGCTGGGTATATCTGTGTGGTGTTTAGGGAGCTTGGTTGCCACAGGCCAAGGTTAAAAGGAGTCATTGGAGAAACCAAACAGAAATGGCACAACAAAGTCCTAGACATAAATCATCTCAGGAAGCTTTCTTACACAATAAGCACTGGAAGAATGGCTCACCCTGTAAGAGCTCATGCCATGCTAGAGAATCTGCCACAGGAGCAAATACCACAGTGGGAGACTCTTCCATCTGCCCAGTCAGCTGTACAGGCACTTACCACTGTTATCAGGCTGCATGAAAGCAGTGGCAAATGTGTGGGGGAACAGATTGGCTGAATCTCTCCGCATCCCATTCATCTGTATGGTGTTTCCCTGGAATACAGCTCCATGTACATCCGCTTCACTGCCCAAGCCCAGGAGGTGCCAGGACACTTTGTCTCCTTCACACACTTCCAGCCCCGGCAAGTTACCAAACATAAATCCATTGATGGCTGGAAAGGAGAAAGCAATTAACTCTGCAGGCCAGGAGATTCATTTTGAGCATACACCACATAGGACAGGCCTGCCAGTCAGAAGAAGGATAACTTGTTTATAATTCACTCCTGAATACACACCGAGCACATTTCTCCAGACAGCTGTGCTGCTTTTCCATGTGTCACCCAGTGCCTCCAGCCTGGTTTGATTCCAGGCCAACACCACACAGCCCTTCCAGCCCCCAGCTCAGCCTTTAGGTGAACATCAGCCCGTGCTTTGCAGGCTCATCCCTGCTGCCACAGAGCAGCATCCGACCATACCATGCATCCTGTTGGATTCCTCAAAGTCATCATCCTTTTTCACAGATGTCTCTTCCATCCTCAAGTAGTACTTTATGTTGGCATTTAAATACCAGCTGAGGTTCTCGTCAAACACGTTGAAGAGAAGATAAAATTCTTTGTCGATTCCTTTCTATAATTACAATGATGGTTGTTAACTTTGAAAACACACCAATTAACTACCTTTTACAGATGTTTTGCWTGGCTCTCCTATTCTCCTGTATTTTAAAACATGGCTCATTAAGAGACAGGATTCTCTTTCCCTTTACTCATGTTAGACATTCYTCTTTGATTTCACAAGGCACCACTTTAGCATTTCCCATATTTCACAAGAATACACTGGAGACAACTCAGGCAAGGGGATAAAGTCATTGCCTCCTTCCTTCCCCAATGCCCCAGTGTAGGTGTCTGTCCAAACCAGGCCCCAGATGAGCCCAGATACAAGTCAGGCTGAGGACCACACCCCTCTTCTGCCTCCAATCACAGGCCTGGATTAGGCATTTTTAAATTACCCTAAATCGTTGAGAGTGCTAATTCTCCTAACACATGCACYCCAAAGCATGAGGTTTCCCCACTAAAAGAACATTGTGTCCAGGCTCTCCTACTGGTGTCACTGTCCCCAGCAGAACACAGGGAGCCAGCCTGCTGAGGTGAGCAATTCCCAGGCTGCAGCACACGGGTACAGGAGATTTGCCATGCACCTTCCACAATTAAGCATTCATTAAAGGATTGCCTAAGATTGTGGAGCCAGAAATGCCACCCCAGGTGATTTTTCCCTGTCCTAAATTTATAAGCAGGTCTTTCTTTCTTGCTTACACCCTTCCAATACCTGCCCATCACCATCACAGCTCCTCCACCTCAAGGGCTGTGTGTATTCCCAAATCTCATTGCTCAGCAGATCCACATTCTCACCCTGGGCAGCATGTTGAATTCTCCTGCATTCCTAATTCAGTCACATGGTGMCCCCACTGAATGTGAACTCCTCTGAGAAGGCTCTAGGGGCAGCAGTCCCCAGATCTGTCACTGCTCCTCGAGTCACACTGCAGGATGGCAGCRGGGGTTTGATTTGCCATCTGCTGTSTTTCACAAGGTTCTGCTCCTCTGTCTGGCACCTTCCCAGGATATCAATTTACTGTCTTCCCTAGACTGACTGCCAGGAATAGACTACCCTGCATGAAATTCCAACAGGAAGTTSTGGCTGCCCTTCAGGTTTCACCTCTCCTTCATCAAAAGCATAAAGACTGACATGAATTTTCACACTCTTTTTTGTAGTCAGCTCTACGTGAAAATTAACTTCTCTTGAAGAATAAATGAGGCTCACCCAAAYCTCAAAGCAATGTATCACCCAAGTAGAAGACCTGTAAATGAAAATGTCTTTTCAGTGTTTCTGRGACTGCAATGACTATTCCACATGCCTCTCTGAAAGCAGCCTGCTACAGAAGCCTCAGAAGAGTTACYTAGAAGGCAACTGTTCCAAGATACAGTTGCTCAGCCAAGTTTGTCTATGAATTTAAAGCAGAGTTCAGGAACTGTTCTGAGGGCAGCTCTTGGGAGCSCAGAACACCACTGGCCTTTCCCAGGCAAGACCTGGGCACCAGCTGTCCCAGCATTGACTTGTCCCATGGCTTTGATTTGACTCTCCTGGACTGACACTACTGCACATTTGTTTTTATTAGGCTGCTTAATGTTTTGCTGATGCTTCCTTTCCCTACATGAAAGCAAAAACCTGGTAGGAACAGGACAGGAAAACCCCTTTACCTGCTTGTTGTTGTCATCCAAAGTGCCTGACTTGCAGATGAGCAGAGGCCCCACTAAACCCGAGCTGGAGTCTTTGACAGGATTGGCAGCCGAGCTGTACATCCAGGTGAGGCAGGGAGGGTCGCTGGACGTGGGCCCCACATGGCTTGGCACAGTCCAGCGGTACGTGAAGTTGTGCAGGGGTGCCACAGTAACCCCATTCTGGGACACACCTTTAAAACAGGGATTACAGGGTTATTCCTGGGTCCCTGCACAGACTCAGTTACACCTTCTCACCAGCTACATTAATAGCAGGCTTTACTTCATTCYCATCAACAAAACACCCAGCACCTCTGAAGGGTGATGGGGGTGTACTCAAGAAAAGGGATTTACCAACCATCATGGTACCACATCCCTTCTGACGCCTTCCCATAGGACACTCCATGGGGATGGATACTGAAGGGCCAGGAGGCTTTGTTGAAAAATGTCACTAGGATGGTGTCTCCAACTTCAGCTTTGATCACTGGACCTAGAATACRGCAGAGAGAGCACATCAGCAACAGAGATCTCCCCAAGCCAAAGCAGACATGGCACCCTCCCCCAAGCCACAGGGCCAAGGATGAGAGGCAGCAGATGGCCTGGCCTTGTTGCTGCTGAAGGGAGCTCAGTGGGAGCCAGCACTGGCAAGGATCATCTGAAAGCAGTTTGGGTCCACAGGAGAACTTAGAAGCATCAGGCCTTCACAGGGGGAAGTAACAGAATAGCCRGATGTGCTGGAATGCCCTCAGGAAAGACCCATTTCTCTCCCCTACCTACACAAGGCCCCCTCAGCCTCCCAAATCATGTGCCTCAGAGGTGTGAGATGCTCCAAGCCCACTAGTCTGTAAGTCTCTGAMCCAGCCAGCCAGCCAGAGAGGAGCTATGAGCCTTTACCATGGCTGTCCCCACTTGCCCCAGATCCRCAGAAGCATCCCAAGAACACAGAAGAGCTGAGAAGCCAGGCTGCCTCCACGTGCCCACCTGGCTGTGGCTGAGAGCACCCATTCAGGAGAGAAAGCTCTCCGTGAGAACATGGGATTTGCAGCACACCTTGAAGAAGCTCAGTCAAAAACACATAACCAGGAGCTATCACTTTGACCTGTTTAGCTCTAGTCACACATCTTACACTGTGTCCCTCAGCCCACACGTCTAGAACACCTTCAGAAACACCCCTGTAGTGATTCTGTCCATTCTACCACCCTGCATCTTGGCCTGTCCCCTTTGCTCTCGGATGRGACTGTTGTGAAGCATCTCTTGTGCCCCTCCCTGTCCCTCAAAACAAGCAGGCAGGCACAGCTGCCTGGCACTCGAAGGATCAGCATCCTCACAGACACTGACAGAGGATTTGTATTCCGGGATGATTCTCACCAAGTATTCCAAGGTGTTTTGCTTCTTCTGATTGCTGCTTTTCCTCACGGAAGCTCCCATCYGTATATTCCACATACTTTGCCTTCCAATAGACACCCCCAATTCGGTGGGGGCTAYGCTTGAAATACTGTTCACCAGGGCTAAATGCAAAAAGCAAATGTCAGGTCATTTCATAGAAAAATCAGTGCTATTTCCCTGCTCCCTCTAGCAAGGCCATCAGCATTTCCAAGTCAAGCAGTATTCCAGACAAAGACAGCTCTTCTAGTTCGGAACAAGCTTTGACTCTGCAAAACTTCTTTGCCCCTACAGACTCATCCACCTGTAACTCTACAAAGTGTTCTGGAAGCAGCTGTGGCACACAGCCCTCTCCCACATGACCTGCCAGGTGTGGTGACACAGGTGTGATCAGCATCTTTATAAGACATGTGAAGGAATGAACAAAACTGTCAGTGGGAAGGCAGTGCTAAAACCCCAACCTCTTCAGCAGCTGGGGACAGCCACAATCACAACTAAAATAAACAGCTGTAAAAGTATTTATTTCCTCCACTACCACCCTCACCAAATATAAGCAACAAGCCTTGCAGGAGAGGCAGAGCAGTTACAAGGGCGGCTCACAGGACTAAACAGCTTTCAGGTCTAAGGTCTGCAAGACTTGCTGCATGGCACTGGGTAAATAATTAACCACTCTGCGTTTTCTCTTCTCCATCTGAATAAGGTATAGCCTCTCCAACAGACTAGTGGGGAAGGAATTAATCTCTGTGGAAGAAGAATCTCTCTTTCAGTTAGCCAAAGCCTGACTGGGAACCCTCCCACAACTGCTATCACAGCCCCCTGACCATAGGATGGAGGGCTGCCATCCCAGTCCTTGTATTTGATTTCCTAGAAATTGTTTCCTGCAGCAACACCAGCCTGAGACCCATCTGCAGGTCAGCTCTGCCACCCTGTGTCTGCTGCACCAGGGGCTTTTTTCAGTCATTTCTCAAATAGATCAATCTGTTCCTAGGTCAGAAGCCCAGAGACAAATGCAGCAGCTCACACTGCACATCTGCTGGGACTCCTGCTGCCTGTGGCTACAGCTGTGCCATTCAGCACTCTCATGGGAAGGCCCCAAGGTACCCATACTGCTCTCAGTGCAGTCCAGCTAYAGCAGCCTCCCTTTCTAGATGGGGCGGGTGATCTGCCTTCCCAGGAAATGTACTTCATGTGAGTAGCAGGCATGTATTTTGAAAAGAACAAAATTCCACGTTTTCCCGAGCAGCCTTGCTGACACAGGCCAGACTCCCCAAACACTGCCCAAGCCCACCAGCACCTCACTTACCTGCCTGCATTGCTCAGCCCCTTCCCACTGCTCTGGTCGAGCCCCGAGGGTGCATAGTCCCACTGCACTTCCTTGGCAGCTATGTAGTATTTCCGAACTTTGCCTTTCAGGGTGGGTGCCGGAGCTTGCCAAGAACAGGTCCGGACTTCATAGAGTGCCCCCATCCCAGCTGTCCAAGACATGAAGGTGGACACTCACTTAGCCCTTCAGCCAGCCTAACGGGCAGTCAGTCCCACCTTCCCTCTGTCCCAAAGGGCATGTGGATGGCAGAAGGCAAATAACTCCACAGCAAGGAGCTGTGCATCAGTGAGCAGAACTTCCAACCTTAGATATTGGATGTGATGGAAGTATGGACAGAGAGTGACTAGAGCCTTCTTCTATCCTCAGATCTTTCATGCAAGTGCCTCTTACAGGGACCAGGGTTCTTAAGGTACTGCCTCATCTCAGCTTTCAGCTGTTTCAAATATCAAACATCACGCTGTGGTACAAGTCACCGCCACCAAAGCTGCCCTGCATTAGTAACCAGCCCAAAACAATTTTTATAAAACRATTTTTACACTCATCTGGAGATGTATTCATGACCAAGGCACTGTTCCCTACMACACTGTACATCATGTACATCAAAAAACAGAGGACACGGAGTCCAGGACATATTCCACCCTCTGCCTTACCTTGTATATGATCATTGACCTGGCAGCTCAGCAGCCATCTCCCAGGGTTACTGGGGATCATATCTGCTGTGACAAAAGTGGCTGGGAAGAGGCTGGCCACGTCTGTCCTGTGGCCTCGGATATTGAGCGCCTGTCCATGGAAGTAAGCCGTGTGAACATCAATTTCATTGCCCATCCCGAAGAGGTGCCATGAAATAGAATCCCCAGAACACATYGTCAGCTCAGGGAGGTTGCCAAACACGTAACCATTAATAGCTGCAAAACCAAGCAAGCCAAAATTAGAGCAGCAAAGGAGCCTTCAGAGCTCCTGCTAGCAGGTGACAGCACAGATACAATGTGAAGATGGACCAAACCAGAACTTCTCTTCTGTTTAGGAGAGCTCAGCTCCACAGCTCATTCCTAAAATGAAGAGTATAAAAGCTCACTCAAGCCAAAGATTAAATCAAAACAATACTTTCATTTTCTGGAGCYGTTGCCCTGTCCCTGAGATACTATTTGCCCAGCACATGATCTCAGAGCAGATCCTGGAGCACTGACACCCCTGAGTGTCTTGGCAGATACAGTGGCCTCACAGAGGTGACACTGACCATGCATTTTGTTGCTCTCCTGGAATTCCTCATCTTCTTTGTCTACTGAGCCAGGATCTGTGCAGAATGATGCTATGTTCTCATCCAGGTACCAGCTTAGGTTCTCATCCACCACACTGAACATCAGAAAGAAATCAACATCCACATCCTGGCGTCTTTGAGAGCTGCCTGTCAGTATTCCTGATGTGAAGGGAGAGAGGAATGAATGCAGAAAATCACTCACGCAGAAAATCAGGCATCAGGCAAGGAATTTAAACAGCCATAGCAGAGTAAGTCTTGTCACATGAATTGGAGACAGATGCTTTCTTCCCAGCCTCACATCTCACTGCACAGCAGCAAGCTYACCATTTTCTAATATACCCCTGACAACACAGTTCTCTCTCCAAAGCAACTCTGCCACTGCAAATCTCAACTACAATACCTTCAGTCTTTTCACTCCTGTTGAAACCAATCACTCACCCTGTTTTTAATACACAAACTAGATCTTGGACAAGAGTCCTCCTTTTAACATGGATTCAAGCAGATCTCTTGGATCAAGAGGCCTGCAAGCTCATCTGCCCAACCACTAAGGGATAAAGACAGTCCAATGATCAGAATCCAGCTAGAACCCAGGTACTGTCCTCTCTAACCAARCTGCACTTCCCTCTGAAGCTGGGAGCTGCACAGCAGAGTATCTTCACACCCTATCCTTATTCACGGCACCACAAAACCTTTATGKTATGGGACTGCAGTCCTCAGCTGCTCTCTCTTGGTGTTTTTACCTTTTCTACATGTAAGTAATGGCCCAATTAATCCAGATGCAATGTCCCTTGGTGCATCAATATGAGAGTGATAGATCCAGGTCAAGCAGTTTGGGTCGTCAGCAGTTGGACTGTGATCTTCAGGGACAGTCCARGTATAGGTGTAATTCCTTCCTGGGAAAACAGCATCATCCTTCTTCTGATCCTGGGGGGACATATCAGGATACAGGGATCCTAGAACAATTGAGCAATCACAACATCCATTCAAGAAGAGCCAAGATGCCCACACATGTAACCTTATACTGAGCTGAGACTCACCATCCCAAGGCTGAAATAGTGTTTAATCATCACTTCCTCAAGGAGGCACTGAGGCACTGAGGCACAGAGCCACTGTAAGGCACCTTGCCCAGAAGACAGAGTCAGCAGGATTATTTCCATTCTGCCTAGTGCCCCCACAATCAGTCTCTACCATCTCTAGAGCTGATCAGTGTTTTAGAGGTTCTAAAATCAAGAAACCTGCACTTGTACTGTAATGTCCAGGTCAGGAATCCAGCCCCATGACCCTGCTAACCCAACACCTGCTATCTTCACCCAACATCCAAATGCAGTTGCTTTCCAGCTGGGGCTTTATGGACAGTTCTCTGTAATTCTCCTAAGTTCCCAGTAAAAAAAATCTGTCTCCATGATGGCAGTAGCTCATTTACCTTCAGAGTCCTTTTCGTAGAAAACACCATGAGGATGGATTGTATACGGTCGACTAGCAAAATTTTTCAGGTGTACTTTAATGGTATCCCCCACTTCTGCTCGGATGACAGGCCCAAGGAACCCCAGCCAGCGAGGTTTGGGGATCTCAATGGTGTASGTGGAGTCCGTGTATTGCTTATAGACAGATTTCTTGTACGTGCTTCCCACCCTGTTCTTCCCAGACTGCAGGAATGCTGAGGCCTGGCTGTTGAATTCAAAGGGAAAGGCACCTATGAGTCATCAYTATACACAACAGCTGGTCAATACTGCAGGAGAGTGACAGTGACACTCCACTTTCATGGGTACAGCCAAAAGCTCTGCCATTAGAGGACCCTGCTCTAAGCCACCCATGCATGGCCACGACATCAACCCCAGCTCTTAACCAACAGACACAAATTACACCTGWGAACTGGGCCCTGCAAACAAGACAYGGGAAGGACAGTGCTTCCCRGAGAATCCCATGTGGGTGTCGCATGGAGGACTCCTCTCAWGCCTCTTTCAGTCCTCACTGGGGTCTTCAAAACTCACTTCAATTCCTTAGTGGCATTTCTAGCTAAATCACAAGGCAGGTGGAGTGGGGGTGGGTGGGGAACTCTCCTGAGCTCTCTGGTCAAAATTCAAAGTTTGAAAGATGATTTYCTAAGTAACAATTTCCAAATTCCTTCCAGAGTGGCAGGCAAGTCAGGCAGGCACATATCCAGCATGCAACCAGCTTCCAGAGTTAAAACTTCATACAGATACTAAAGTTTAACTCATGAGCGTATTTGTTCTTTATGGGTAATTCTTAATAGATAAGAGATGAATCACAGTCCAAGTATTAGTGGAACCAGCCTAAATGAGAGCCAAGGTCACTCCTCTAACTTCCCCATTCGGATCAATCACCCACAGCAATAGAGAAACCCTGGAAGAGAGGTAAACTCTAAAGCACATCTCAGAAAATGAACAGCTGAGACCCAAATATTAAGCACTGGCCTCATCATTCAAAAACGGGCAGCTATGGCTATGGCTGTACAATCCAGAGTTCAGCCCTTGGCCAAGTCAGCCCTGCAGCCATTAGCAGCAAAGTGGTTAAGATAATTCACACTTACTTTTACAGATGTGCCTCTTTTTCCCTACACAGTCCATTTCTTCCCAACWAAAAAACTCCTTGAAATATTTTCCTACCTCTATCATTCATATGAACATAACATCCCTTTCTAATTGCCAGCAATTTCATTTCTGCAATCATTGTACAAATAGGCCCCATTAGCTAATTGTTTGCAATGACAACAGTTTTTAAATTGCTTTTAAGTTCAAGGGCCCTGAATTTCATTTCCTTCTCTCCATGTATTATGAGAGCAGCCAAACAAAATCCATTGCATTCATAATCACTTCAGGAGTCAGTGGCAACATCTCTTCAAAATCTCAAGAGAATTTTTCCATCTAAACTGACAGACCTTGATGTTTCTGTGCACCTTTCCTGTTCCCAGTGTACTGTTTCTGAAGGAGGTTTCTGARCATGACTGTTACATTATTATGTAGAGGACTGAAAGCAGGTCAAGAAATACCAGCTATTTGCCACAGAAAAAGCAGGGGAAAAAAGCACAAAAGCCTTTAAAATGCTACAGAAAGCTATTAAAAAACAAACCAAACCACACACACAAAACACCACCAAAGAAAAAAACTACAATGTTTTGAAAACTAAACCCAAATCCTGTTTGTGTAGTAACTTAAACCAATTATTGGAGTTTCCAGATTTACTTTTGCAAGAAAAACAAAAATATTTTTCAAACAGTCTCTAAAATCCCATGCAGGAAGTCCCGTTAAGTCTAAGGCTTCAAATTCCACTGGAACRAAAACAAGCTGGCTCAGTGAAGTAATTTCTATCAAGATGAAAAGTCATCATGCTTCAGGATAAACAAGCTGACCACCAGCTGGAACTGAGTAAAATGAAACATCAGGGTAGAGCATTGCAAAATCTGGACAATTTTAGAACAATCTGTTCTGTATCTGCTCTATTTTCCGTTCCGTGTTTGTTTCCCATACACTTCWCTCCAGTGTACAGGCTCTGGATGCTTCAAACTAACCATCCCCTTCCCCACTGACACAGGTTTTATCACAGGAGCATAAAACAAGTTAAACATTAAGCTCATAAAGATCAGAATCTACAGGAGTGTGTCTCTTGCTTGCTCAGATGCCCCAAAATACTCGCATGAAATTACATATCAAATGACAGCTTGAAGCCAGAGTTAATTCAGTCAAAAGCAAACGTACCGGTTCTGTGCAATACTCTGGTCAGCGAGCACATTCCTCCCCGTCGGAGCATAGTTCCAGTCCACCTCACGGATCCCCAGGTAATAGACACGGGTGACACCCCCAGCAAATGTGGGTGACAGCATGGGGATGCAGAGCAGCAACCACCAGACTGACCCCATTTCAGTCCCAAGGGAAGGTGCCTTTGGAGGCTACACCTATTTGGAAAAACAAAGACAATGAAACAGAATATGACTGTTTGAAGGTGCTGGACATTTTGAGAGAAGTCAGGTGTAATTCCTATTGGGATCGTTAGTCAAACACTGAAGAAGAAAATCACTTTGTAACACAATTAGCACACAAGGTGCATGGGGATCATGCCTTGCTAATGAGTCCCCACTGCCCTCATAATAGTTTAATTAACCCTTTTTTTTAACTACTGCTGACATTCCAAATCGTCCTACAGGTCCACATATAAAGCTCAAGCAAAGAAACCTGAGCAAGTATCTGTGTATTTTAAACTGTTACCAAGATCCCTCTGCTCTAAGTCACTTAAGCAAGTATGATTCAGTCACTATGTAGTAATTTTAACTTCTTGAAAGATAGCTCYTATGGAGCAGCTATCTTTAACCCACTAATACATCTCAAATAGGCGGCACAAGGTTCTTCTTTTCTGTTCCATTATTTTCTCAATKATTTTGATCACTAAGTAGCTTACTCATAAAAGACACCTTCCAAAGCTTCACTTGATATTTCCAAACATGCTGWGTTATTCTCAGAAGCTTGTAATAATCAAGCATTGATGTTTCCAAATAGTCATTAATTTGGACAAAGCTYGGAGACACCTTCTTTCCCTCCTTTCTCAGAAGGGAGCTGTAAGGATCTCTAAATCTGAAGTTTTGATTCATCAACACAACACAGCTCTGCTCCAGTGGCTCCACCAGCCAGTCCTCTTCAGAAGCTCCTGATCAAACACCTAACAAAATTCAGACACACAAGAGCCCCATCCCTGCGGTATTGGCAGTGTGGGAATGACAACAGCGTGCTGGCTCATCTCTACCCCTACACACCACTCAGGCACCGACCTTACTGCCTGCTGCTGCTGCTGTTCCAGGACCTGGTGCTGTTTACAGGAAAGTAAAATACCTTTTTTGACTCACTCTGTGCCAACAAGGACTCAAAAGAAGGAKTTTGGAAAGCCATACCTGTGCTGTTTCACACAGCAGACCAGCAAAAGGCAGCGGTGACAGCAATGTGGAAAGGAACGGTCAGCAGCACCAGTCCTCAGCCTGAAACCAGCCACCCTGGCAATACACACCCCGAGGGAAGGGCAGTGGGATGCTCCTGACTCAGCCCAAGCTATGGCCTTCGTGTCAGCTCGGGGCAAAGTACACGGGAGCTTCCGGCGCACAGGGCGGCCCAGGCAGGCTGYTCTTTGTGTGCTCTCATCTCCATGGCTTGTGCAGGTACTACCACACCAGGAGAGAACAGCAGCTCTCCAAGCTGATTGTGAAAACTGTCTATGAAGACAAATCCCGTGTGCCAGCCCACTATGCCTGCGTGACAGAGTCCCTGCTCGCCACACCAAACTTGTGCATGGCAGTGTCACAGCCCCCATCGGGGGAGTTACAGAGCCACGAGTCGTGGCATTCTGAGCGCTCTGGGGCGTGCTCTGCCATTGAAGAGTCAAGGACGAGTCTTTGGGACAGCCTTACTAAGGCTTTACAAGAGTMACACCTGGACTCTGCCTGGAGTCTGACCACAACATCACACACACCTCTGGGGAAGAGCAAAAAACATCCCTGAATGCAGATGTAACCAAGTTTGTGCTCACATTCCCTTCACAATGCCTAATTACCATTTAGTTACTTGACTAGTGCAAGGTGAAGGTAGTAAAAAAACTTAAACTTGTTTCAAAATATTTTTTTCACTTTTTCTTTGATATGAATATTTGCCTTCATTAAGAAAAAAAGAAAGAGAACCAAAACCAACCCCAACTTTATATTACATCTATCCCTGAACCTTGCACTTAACAGCAGAATCCTCCCCCAGGACTGCCCTTTACCGGGTCCCCGACAGCACAGGAATCGCGAATGAACGGAAATCAGATTTCAGGCAGGTCAATGGGATCCAACTCCCATCTGATSCAGGCGGACGATGCAGGGATGTTCCCTGACACCCGACTGCAGGGAAACCACAGCCCGAGAGCGAGGGGAAAGCAGCGAAGGAAGGCAGGAGGACGGACGGCTCATCCCTTACGTGCGGAGCGGGAGGCGGCGCGGCTGCGGAGCGGGACACGGGAGCGCCGGCGGGGACCAGCCCGGGTGGGACAAAGGGGCACTGCCTCCGCGGGCTGACCGAGCCCGAGCCGGCCCGGCCCCGCAGCGCTGACCGCGCCCGTTCCGCCCACACGGTGGGCCGGGCTGCTCCGCCCCGCACCTGCGGGAGCGCCTCGGCCCGGCCGCGCCTCAGCCGGGCCCCGCTCCGGCCGCATACGCGGAGTGCGATCCGCAGCGTGCACCTGCCCGCCCCGCCCGGAGCTCGTCCCCCGGTGCGSGGAGTCCCGGGAAAGCGGGCGGCGGGCGCAGGCAGGGCTGCGGCACATGGCCAGCGGCACCCACCTGCTGGCGGGACGGGCGGCGGCACCGGGCGMGCACTCCCGGGGGAGCTGGAGGGGCGGCGGCTGCGGCCCCTTTAAATGCGCCCGGTGACGTCACGTGGCCGCGCGCTCCCTCGGGAGCACAACAAGAGTCACGCTCGCGGCCGCCGGGGCGAGGGGCGGGGTCTGGCGGCTCCCGCCAATCAGCGGCCGCTCCGCGCGGCGGCCCCGCCCCCCGCTGCGTCGCGCGGCCCCTCGCGGCCCGTCCCCGCTCGCGCGGCCCGTCGCGGTCCGAGGATGCGGGAGGCGCCCGCGCTGCCCCGCGGCCCCGCCGCCCCCGCCGCGCCCGCCCCCGGGCCCGTGCCCGTCCCCGGCTTCCTCGCCAAGCTCTGGGCCCTGCTGGAGGACCCGGACAGCGACGACGTCATCTGCTGGAGCAGGGTGAGGTGGCTGCCCGGGCCCGGCCCGGGGAGGCCCGCGCGGAGGGCTCGTGGGTGGTGGGGACGCCGGGCCGGCGCTGCGGCGACCTGCGGGCGGGCGGTGGYGGAGGATTCCCGGCTGCCCGGAGCGCCCCGAGCCCGCCTCCCCGCCCCGCTTGCGGTGGTGCTGTTGGGGGAGCCCCGGGGCGCGGAGCGGGGTGCGCGGATCTGCGCTCCAGGCCGCGCCCGGGCCCCCCCGTTAGCGCGCACCCGCCGTGTGCGGCCCGCGGCGGCAGCGCTCGCACAGCAGTGGGACATCCCCGGGGGGCAGTGCCGAATTCCCGGTCACCAGCTCCGGGTGGTGAAAGGACGCTGTARGACGTCATTAACTGTCCATTTCCTTCCGGAGCGGAGACAGATGTGCCCCCCGGGCACTGGGCACGGCCGCACCGACCAGACACTCCAGACACGCACCGTGTTTATTTTTATTCCCTTTCATTTTAAATCCGTAGGATTTTTCTCCGCTTTTTTTCTAGCCGTTTGCCCTTTACAAAGGCAAAGACGAAAAGAAGCGCAGTATTTTTGTTCACTTCGTGAATAACATAAAAGTGATGCAGAAAGCTCTGCCTGTTTTCAGGAAGCTTGATCTTGAGCATTTGATAAATCTGGCACTGCTGGTGTCACACTTACCCCTGGTCRCCGCTGGGTTGTGTTGTCTGAACTTTTGGTAACTCGGCAACRTTACGTGGTTATTTTTAGTGATGACATAGCACGTACAATGGAAGAATCTTGTCAGGAGCTGGGCAGACTGATGAAAGGAGATGAAATCTCTTTAGTGGCATGAATTCCATTAGCCTTGTGCAATGCTTATGTTTCCTGGGGACAAAGAAAGCAGGTTTTTAGAACCATTTTGCTTTGGATTAAGACCARTGTGTCAGGGCTTTAAGAAAATTCYCTATTCAATAGAACTGTTCCATGTAATTGTGTCTTTGAGTTAAAACTACTGTTGCATTCCCAAGTACTCAGAAGTGTTCCCACAGATAGTTCACTTGGTGAGGTCTTTTTTGCCCTTCTCTGCTGTGGGGCCWCGKCTGATTTATGGTCTTCACYTAGGAAGAAMAYCTTAGAAAAGCTGTGCTTGTTCAMTAACTGTTATTCCTACTTATTTCCTAGAATGGCGAGAATTTCTGCATTCTGGATGAGCAGAGGTTTGCCAAGGAGCTGCTCCCCAAGTACTTCAAACACAACAATATCTCCAGCTTCATACGACAGCTCAACATGTGTAAGCATCAGCGGTTCCTACACGTTCTGTTTGCCAAGTTCAGAGCTGCTTGGCTTCAGTTTGGATTTCTTWAAACAAGCAAAAGGACTTGGCAAGTCTTTCATCCCTGAAAACCTGAGCTCTGGCCTTGAGTTTGCTTTGCAAAAGAAATGACTGATGGTAGAGCTTGGTTTAGTGTTTGGGTTTTGTGTTTTAGCTCCAAGTCCTTTTGAGTAACAGCTGTAAGAATATGTGCTGGTGCCTAAAAGTAGTGTGAGGTACCCTGAGTTCCAGTGGTGCTCTTGCAGCAAACMTACATGTACCCAGGGGATCAGAGGCTGTGTGTACATCCATACACCTAGAATGTGAAAAAAAGMTGCCTGGATTTTGGGGCTGCCACTGCTCTTGCCTGCTTTGCTGTGTTGGATCCAGAGGAATCCTGCTAATGGGCCAAGCTGGACTGTGTTTCTCATGTTTTCTGTGCTCAACTTGTGAGCATCATGTGGCAGCATTGAGTAGTGTAGGTACAGCATGGCCAGACAGAGGGGTGCAGTGAGAGTAACTCAGGGGCACAGTGCAGCATACAAGGCTGCAGCACCCAGCAGGAATAACTTCAGGAGCTTCTGGGACCAGTGAAAGGACGAACAGCACAGGAGGTGCTGCCTTAGAATTTCATTCAGACTGATGGGGAGGAGCTCTCTGTCCTTGCCCAGTAGGTTTGCCTGATCTCTCTAGCTCGTGCGTGTATAGGTTTTGTCAGACACGAGGAAAAGCACACCTGTTTAGTCTCTGGACAGAGGGTAGGTGCTGCTGCTTGTGAGACCCATCACTTGAGTGACAGATGATAATGCAAAGAAACAGTTGTCACTTCCCTTTGTAGCCAGGATTAGCGAGAAAATCCAAATATTCCTACTGAGACATACAAGGTAGTGGCAGCCTCCTTTTCCTGCCAGACCTATCCTGKCTTTCTAATAATAGTTGGAATTCATTAACTGTGTTAAAACGTTAACTGAGAGAGGTGGATTGGCCTGTCAGCTGAATCATGCATCTAACCCTGTGGTATTTGAGCAGTGATGGAAATAGAACTGGCAATATCTGACTTTGTGCAGGCAGTCTGGTATGAAGAAGGTGCTCTGCTGCAGGTGTTTGCATAGGCAGGCAGGGAACTTCTCTGCCTTGCTTTATTCTGTCGACTRTGATGGTACATGACAGCATTTGTTTTGTAGTTTCTTCTCCCAGCAGCTGCAGTGCTGTGGTGTTTTGGTAGCACTGGACTTTTCTTTAGCTTATGTTTTCATAGTCAGCCTTGCACTGCAAGAAATGTCTTTGTTGATTCCTCTCCACAGATGGTTTCAGGAAGGTGATTGCTCTGGAGAATGGTATCATTACAGCAGAGAAAAGCTCGGTCATTGAGTTCCAGCACCCTTTCTTCAAGCAAGGGAAGGCACATTTGCTGGAAAACATCAAGCGCAAGGTATAGTCTAAGCACATATTTACTTCACTTAGTTACGAAAAGTGGCTTATCAGCAGCACATATGGGTGTTTCAAACACAGCCAGCAAATACCACAGGAACCAAGGTAGTTCCCTCATCATGCCAGGCTGGTGCTTGGCTGGGCCTCCTTATGCCAGCGTTCAGACTGAACCTGCTCTGCTGTTGGTCACAAGCTGGGGTACACCATGTTCTGCATCATCATCATAACAAGCCCTTCTCCACAGAGTTCATATCCCTGATTGCAGCTTAGCATGGTCTGCAGTACTGTCAGCATCTCCGGCTCTGAGAAAGGCACAAAGTGAAACAAGCAAAAGCAAATACATTCCCATTTGGCACTCATTGAAAATTAGCAAGGGCTAAGTAATCAATTCATTTGGATGAGTTTGCATAAATTATATTGCTCYTCCATAACTGTGTTGCCACTAAGTTACATCCTTACGAGTGCTTTCTGCTTTTCTTTTGTACATTCAGGCCTTGTCTGACCTGTTTCTGCACAGATATTTATCCTCTATTGGCACATTACAGTCCATAATATCCTGAGGAAAACAGTATCATGATACATCATGTTGACATTTGAACAGCAGAATCTTTTCTTTAGGCTGTCATCAGGTGGGGCTGCATTGCCCAGGGTAATAAAAGCCCAGGGTAGGCTGGAGAGTCACAATTATGTTTGGATTGATTGTTCAGTGAGCTGCCCCTGCTTGGAGCCAGGATCGATTTGGCAGCGCTGGCTCAGGCTGCGCTCCCCCCGCTGCTGTGCCCAGCGTGTCCCAGCGTGCACGCCTGGCAGGGCAGGTGCACGGTGACGTAAGGTGTGGCACCATGTGTCCCACGGGTGGTGCACTGGGTGGAGTGTTCTAGATGGAAAGACAAAAGCTCTGCTCAGTGCCAAGGACATTCATATGAAGTATTGAATAGGTTGGTGAAAGATGTTCTTTGTTGCACAGGAAATGTTTGTGATTTTTTTACACAACAGTCATTAGTTCTCTTGCTCTTYTACTGCCTGGAATGGAGCTATATTCCAGTATTGGCAATAAATTGTATTTTCAAGCCTCTGTCAGAACTGCAGGTTTGAATGCAGGGTTTGCTTTACTTACTCCTTTTCACTTTTAGTTCTGCTGGTATGCAGATACCCTGTGTTTCTTTACAGATACCAGAATGGTTTGAGTTGGAAGATGCTTTARAGCTCATCTCATTCCACYCACTGCTTTGGACAGGGACACCTCCCACTAGACAAGGTTGCTCCAAGCCCYGTCCAGCCACGTATGGAACAGCCAGGCTCCTCTGGGCAGCCCGTGCCAGTGCCTCAGCACCCAGAGACTGGACATCCTGATTAGCCAGTTGGGGACTCCAAAGAGCAGTTCCTTGTACTTGGGCAGAATTTAGATTTGCCCTTTTTTTTGGAGGGTAGCTGGCTGCATTTGAAATTTCCACCCACTGCCTGCAACTTTTGGTTGTTTTCCCCACAGAGACCTGTCAGACCCTTCAACCCATCCTTTGCTCCATAGGATTGTGTTAAGAAAGTGGTTAGTCATGTCTGAGAAGTTACTGCACAACAATTGTGTTCTGTTCCAGCACAAAGGGATGRAGTGTTGGTTTATAACACCATGGGTCCATTTTTGACCATCCCATTCCCCTTTGGAAGAAAAGATCTGTGAGCCAACCYCCATAGAAATTATCTCACACCTCAGCAAGCTAATCCAAATTTGGTGCTTTCACCTCTCCCTTGCAATCCACATGAGATGCTTTCAACCCCCCTTGTAATTTAGCAGAGTAACAAGAAAACTCAACAGGTTGGGACTGACACCTGATATGACTCCATGTGGCTCAATTGTAGTCAGTATTTGGCAAAACGAGGTTCAAAATTAGACCCACAAAACCTGGGTGTATCATTCAGCCATGTTGTAGACCTGTCTTTTCTAGAAGGAATGTGATCATCTTGTTCTTCTACTATCAGCTGTGGGTGTTTTTTGGCTGGTGTTTGCTCTGTGACACTAGAGGGCAAAGTGTCACCAGGCCTGGCAGAGAACTCCCAGGGAAAGCCCTTTGCCGTCAGTGTTTTTTGTCATGAATTACTGTGGAGAATCTGCTGCCTCCAGGTACAAAGTGCTGATCTCATGTTTTCATTGGCATCTTGTGTTTTTCACACAGTGCAGACCATCCTAAGGATTGTCACCTATAGCAGTTGTGTTGTTCTGTGCCATGGAAGAATTACTGTTACCTGGTCTTGTGACAGGGCTCTCCCTGCAGCAAGGAGTGTGCAAGGCACTATTTGTAATAAAAATCTGTACCTTTCCAGGTGTCTGCAGTGAGAACTGAGGATCTCAAGGTCTGCACAGAGGATTTGCACAAAGTCCTGTCGGAGGTGCAGGAGATGAGAGAGCAGCAGAACAACATGGATGTCAGGCTGGCTAACATGAAGAGGTAGACTCTGCTGTTTTGGGGTGCTTATACATTGAATGTTTCTTGTATCTGATGGAGATTGGCTAAATAYGGGTTTCATTTGAACTGGAAACAGGTGAAGCTRCGTTTTTTCCTAATAATGCCCATTCCGTCCATCACAACATTCTGAATCTGTTTGTTTTTGTAATTCATTTACAGACCGGAGATTTAGACTGRGAGTTTGTTGACTGTCTTGAGATTTCACTCTGGTTGCCAGCACCTGTAGTAGTTTTTTTAGGGTAATGAAAGCATTTCATAAGCAAACAGGGTTAGATGCAGTAAGGGACAATTAGTGGTTTGTTTTCTTTCTAATTGGAAGTAGACTTTGCACATCCTCACCTCTGTTCTCTCAGATTCCCTTCATATAGGCACTGGTAATTAATTCAAGTCATTGGTATGCCAGCAGATATCAACCATAGTTCAGAGGATACCTTTCTCTCTCTGTTCCTTTAAAAAAAAAACCAAAAAAACAGCAGTCCCCTTGAACACCACCTTTAGACCTGTCCCAAGGCTGTTAGTGTTTGGAAACAGGCTGAACAAAGTCCTTATTCAACAGCTTTGAGGCTTTGAAGGAATACCTCAGATCAAGATGATTGATGGAGCAGCACAGGATGAGGGTGTCCTTATTGAGTGTTTGATGTTGCCTGATGGAAAATGGAGTTAAGTTAACCCCGAGTTCATGCTAGTGCATTGGATTAACTGAGGGTTAGTTATCCACAGAGGGAATGTTGCCATTGGTTCTGCAAGGTACTCTGAAAGTTTGAAAGCTGTAAAACTAGAGCATATAAAGTAAACTCTGTTCATCCTCTGTCTTCTGATTTATTCTGCATTGCAGAGAAAATAAGGCCCTGTGGAAAGAAGTGGCAGTTCTAAGGCAGAAGCACAGTCAACAACAGAAGCTGCTGTCTAAGGTACCATTGCAGCATCTTCAGTGCTACCATCCTTATTCCTGCCTCTATGATACTTCATGGCATTCTTTGCTTATGTAGAATGACAAATGACACAGAGCTGAACAGGCTGTATTAATGCAGCATAAAGAAAATGTTCGCAGTTCCTGAGTGTCCCAGAAGTAGCACAGTAAAGAACCACGAGCAAAGCACTAAGGAAAAGTCATAGTAGGATCTCAGTGTGTGGAGACAGTGCATGGTAACAGGAGCCCAGAACTTGAGAGATTGCAGGCACATGGAACGGAGTCTGTGAAAGATCTTGGACCAGGATACACTTAGACCACTTGAGAAGTGAACTGGAACCCAGAAACTGTAGGAGCTTGCACGCTGGAAAAGATTTTCTCTGGTTTACCCCTCAGCTGTTTCTGGTCTGGAATCCTCTAGTGACTTGTGCTGTTATATTGCTTTAAAAAAAAAAAGCCAATTGTGCAAGTGGGATAATTTTTCTGTGCAGTTTTGCTGCTCTTGCTTTGTTCTTTTAAGATACAATTGCAAATGGATCTTTAATTTACCTGCTGATTTCTGTCACATAACTATCATTTTGTAGTAAAATCTGAATTAAGAATGTAATGTTAGGATTGCTGTGCTGACCACTTGGTTTTGGTTTTCTTTTGTTTTTCCTTTTTAGATTCTTCAATTTATACTAAGTTTGATGCGAGGAAATTATATTGTTGGGGTCAAAAGAAAAAGGTAATRACTTGATAGGTCCCAGATTAGTGTYAGATGTGAATTATAGGGATAAATCAGTTTCTATTGCGTAAGGCATGTTTTTATCATTTATTCAACTTGAGAAAGCTGATGGAAGTTCAATCAAACACAAAGTAAATATTTCCTCATCACTGAARGAAAGGGTGGGAATACAATATTCTATAAATTTTCAATTCCAAAGGGCACAGTTACCAGAAGTGGTAAATCTCAAAACATGCACATGTGACTGACTTCTTCGAAACCACAGCGGGTGTGTAGTGCAGACTGCCTGCAGTATCCTTCCTGACACACATTCCCAAAAGCCAGGCTTCTTGGGAGGGAAGGAATGATTACCATTGCTGCATGTATTGGRCACTGCTGCAGCTCTTTCCTGCAGAAGTTGGGGTGTACTAAAGCTGTGCTTTGTCTCAGGTCTCTGACAGATGCTGCAGGTGCTTCACCCTCCAAGTACAGCCGTCAGTATGTCCGCATCCCTGTGGAGAGTGGCCAAGCTGTAAGTGTCCCCAGGGAAAGAGGCAGTGGGTTGGACAGGATGATACRCAGTGATATTGGTCTTCCTTATAGCTACAAATACCCTAATCTTATAATGAAATGCTCTGCTTTTTGTAATGGGCAGTGGGCAGCTTAAGAGCATCACTTTGGCTGGAAAATAATGCAAATCAGCTCAACTGGTCACAGATGAAATGTGAACAGGAGAGAGAAGGTGTAAGGAGAAAGGGACTTCAGTATGAAAAAATAAAACATCACAGCCTGTGGTTTACTCATTCTGTGCTGTATTTGCAGATGGCTTTTTCTGAGCAYAGTGCAGATGAAGAGGATGGAAATGGTACAGGCCTGATAATCCGAGATATCACTGACACCCTGGAAAATGCCACCAATGGCCTCCTTGCTGTGGCACACACAAGTGGCAGAGCCAGGTATGTCCAAAGCATATGAAGTATTTGTGCCTGGGTTGTTAACTGAGTAGTTATGTTGGTTTCGGTGATCCATATGGATTCTGGGAAACAGAATGTCTCTCTGAATGTCCRTTTGTGCATGACAGGCCTGTTGTAGGCTCTCCTTCTGCAGCGTGTAGCATTGGTCATTGTCAGAGCTCATTTCTCTTCAGCAGTGCCTGGAGGCCTGTCAGGCTGATGGGCATTTCAGGTTTAATTTGCTGAGGCTTTTCTGTCTGTTCAACAAATAAGCAAATGCTTGACTTTCTGACTGACCAAGGACCTGAATGCATATATAGGTTTCTAATAATCCAAAATGTAGATAGATTACTAACAAACAAATAAAGATCTATAATTTTATCACTAGTTTCAATACTGTTCTCCCTAAGCAAAGCCTAGGGAAGGCATTCTGTGTATGGGAACACATTTTAGTGAAAACCCACGTAGTTGTTAATACCCAGAGTGAAATACGGACTGATCTGGAATCTTTTTTTCCAGAATCTGTCTGTTAGGAGTTTCCCTCTTGCCTCATTTCCATACACTGTATTGCTGCTTTTTTGCCTGGGAAAAAGAGGTGTTTTGCTCTGATATGTGTTCTGTATATAAGCTGTAGTAGGAGATGCTCCATCTGCCACTTTGCTGCTTTTTCTAAAGACCAGTTTGTTATTTGAACCCTTGACTGGCTTATTAAGATGCTAAACCTGAAATGAATAGTAATGCAGTTGATAAATTCTCCTGTATGTTGTTTCTGTTTGGGTCACATTTTAGAGAGCCACAGGCAGCTCTGGATCCTGGCTTGCCTCTTTGTCAAGTATCGCAGCCAAGTGAGCTAAACTGTGCAGATCCTGTCCCATCAGTTGCTATAAACGATGTCAGCAAATCCGGTGAAATAGGCACGGCAGCTGTGGAGCTCCACACTGCACAGCCAAGTGCTCCAGAGGATCCTGTGTCAGTAATTGACTCCATCTTGAACGAGAACAACTCTGGAAACCAAAACGATCCTTTGCTGGACAGGTATTAACTTGTTTCTGAAAAATGTCACACTGTCGTCACCTTGTGGGATCCTGTCAGAGTTCTGGAGGGTGTGTTGTTTGGCAGAACATAGGGATTTGCTTTTGAATTGTCATTGACAAAGTGAATTCTCTGCACCTTTGTTAGCAGGGCTGAGAAAGCCAAGTGTTGGCATCACACATTGAAAAAGGGCAAATGTCCCTGTCACCTTTATGGTGACAGGTGTGCCTGACTGCTGGTGTGCCCATCTGGGACACACTGCCCACTGCTGGCACTGCCGTCTGATCTTTGTTTAAACAGATACTGGTGTACAGGCTGGGGTCTGAGAACATTGACCAGATATTAAAATGAGGGAGGAGGTAGGTATGGAAGGAGGAGCTGCTTTTTGACCTGATAGCTGCTGTTGTGCTGGCTGTTCAGGTAGTCTTCCTTGTACCTGTACCTCAAAGAGCTGGAGTGAAAGGTGATACAGGAATGTGGTTTCATCCTTTCGGCTATTCTGGATTGCAAGCAACCTTCCCTGTGGGGCAGGAGAAGGCCCTGCCTGCCAACTGTGCCTTACAGTACTRTGTAATTTTGTCTTTTTAGAGAAGAAATTCAGGATTTTCTGAATTGCATCGATGCCAGCCTGGAAGAACTGCAAGCAATGCTGTCAGGGAAGCAGTACAACTTCGGTGCTGAGGCATTCAGCGATGTGAGTGTCTTCTCGTTATTTCTAATTTCTAGAAATACTGCTCAGGTTGCATCWTGAAATGTTACTAGTTTATTGCATGTTGTGATGGGTAAGAGGGGCAACATCCTGAAAAGCAAGTAGTTACAGATAGAATGATTTTTAGGTATGCATGGTGTACAGGGTGATGTTGGGGGCCTTTCCCAGGTCATACAGGATTTCTGTTCTACRGAACTGAAGGGGGGAACAAAAAARGRAAAAAAAMTGTYTCACTTCTCCTTCTCAAGTCTTAATCACATACTATGACATCCTGACTTTGTGTTTGATTCAACTAGATATGGATGATGTGAAGTGAAACTTAGCTATATTGCTGGAATCACTGGGAAATAGGGTAACCTTCTCCTGTGATCTCAGTTTACTTCCACAGGTTGAAGTTCCCTGGTTAAGGCCCCTGGAGGAGCCACTGTCCCCATGCTTCAGTGGAAGGAGTGGCACASTGGGTCTTGCAGTCCTTTCAGGAGCTCTCTGCAGTTTTATTTCAAGGACTTTATTAGTTGATATATGGTCTGGTTTTATTTTCAGACATTTAATCCCGAGTTGCCAGCCCTGGATATGAACTTGATGGAAACTCCCCCTGGTATGGAAAATGTAAGAGAAAGATTTACTTCTGTGGTGGGGAGGGCAAATGTGATGCTGGGAGTTGAATCTTGCTTGCTTGATGCAACTCAAGGGTGTGAATGAGGTTGATGGCACAGGGTGACACTGCTGGTTCATCTCATCCAGCTGACTCCAGGGTTTCAGTTGTCAGTGTTGTCATGAAGGAATTTAAGAGGAATCTCAAGATAATTTCCAGTCCTACATTCCTTGTGCAATCATACACTTGGAATGCCTGTTTGAAGACAAGGAAAAGTACTAAATGAAAATTGTAATGCAATACGCTGTAGTTGTTCTGAACGTGGCTGTATGGGATTTTCTCAGAAGTCATACAGAAGTTCAGCACAAACTTACTTCTCTTGGTCCAGTTCCTAAAATTGATTCATACTATTAAAAAAAACAACACTTGCAAGTGTTATTTTTGTTGTAGTCCTGAAATAATATTTAAACAGGGATTTYCCAGTCAGACGAGCTTAGACTACAACTGATGTAAAATGCAGTTGAGTTTAAATAGTGCCTACAAAATTTAATTACATGATGAAATCATGTTTAACTGTTAACCCCAACAAGACCAATTATAATAAAGCTTCTGATTTGGCAGGTAAAACAAATATTTGCTAGTCAGAAGCTTATTTTGTTTGGTAAGCTGTCTGTATTTCACTGTGCCTTCTTCTGAGGGTCCTTACGTGCAACAACAGGCTCATTGCTCAGTTGCTCCATCTCTCTTGCCTGCTCCTTTCACATCTAATTCTGTTAACCAGGCAGTAAAGATTTCCATTTTGTTGTTGTTAAACATTCTGTCTTAACTCTCTTGTCTGCTTTGTTTCAGATGGCAAACTTGGCAGAGAGCACTGAAGGTCTGGGAGCAAGTGAGAGGGAAACAGCAGGAAGCAAAGGTGGGCAGGAAGGAACACTGAGCACTGTGGCAGCTCCACACTGTTCAAAAACTGGGTATTGAAATGGAATTGTTGTAGCCTTTGGTCTGGGCTTAAACTTTTTGTGAAGGCTGTGATGTTTCACTGATGTTGAAGCTGTGCCTCAGTCTTAACAGGCCCATCCTGTGCCCTGTGGTTTTTCACATAGAAAACATGAATCCCATTCTGTGTCCTTTTTCTCATGGAAACATGACACAAGTGCCACAGTAGGGAGCAGAATACAAATGTCCTTGTGGCAGTATCTCTTACACAGGCTGTGACCCCCTCAAAGACAGTGTTGCCATTGCATACTTGGGGAGTCAGGGGCTCCGAGTGGGCTTCAGGTACTGATGTTTCCAGGCACAGGGGCTTTGGCTTCACTCTGACAGCCRTGGCTCTAGGGTTTGTCCCAGCCCAGCTTGGGCTTTCCTGTAGTGCACCAAGTTTGAAGCAACCTCTCCAGGTTTCCTTACCTTGAGTAAAAGCCTTCAGGTGGTCAAAGATCTTCAACTGTTCACTTTTCYCTCAGATATGCAGCTGATCCAGTACAGGGCCAACCCTCTGCTTTCCTTGTTTGAAGAGCTGCCTTCAGGTGAAGCTGCAGGGAAGGTGGAAGATCCGAAAGACTTTCTGCTGCCTCCACTGGAGGAGAAACCTGTTCTCCAGCCTCCATCAGCCAGTGGAACCGTTGTGCCACTTGCAGCTCCAGCAAGCCAGGCGGAGCCTCTGGACGCTCTGGGAATGGGTGATCCTCCACTCCTCCCAGAAGATGGGAATGGAGAGTATAAACTGTTTCCACTCCTGCTTCTCAGTCCTGTTGCTAACTTCATAGATGAGGCCTCTGAGATAGAAATTTCTTGAACTCATAGAACATCTGTAACCGGCTTAGTGCTGTGGAATAACCGCCGAAGGAGTGGAGCAGCAAAAAGTGTGAGCTTGGTCCTCACCTGCTTCCTGGGGACCCTGTTCTGYGCAAATGGAAGTTCTCTTGCTGCAAGCAGGGAGCACATCTGGGAGAACTGAACACAAGCTCAGCAACAACAAGAGCTGGTGGAGTAAAGGCACTAGATAGAGGGGAAGAACAGCAACCCTGTAAACATACCACAATGTATTCCATAACTTTTTATCCAATATTCTTATTGCAAGAGGAAATCTGTTTGTATCCTGTTTGTAAAGTTTGGCTGGGTTTTTTTGTTGGGGGGTGGTGTTTATTAGCTGGATAGTAATGTGGTGTGTCATATTTTAAACCTGGGTTTTACTCTTTGGAGAGCCTGCTTCAATAGGTGGCTTGCCTACTGTTTGGAATTAAGTTGTTTTTAAATTTTGTTTTTGAGATTTCTTTTTTGATAGTTACTGGCTACAATTGTTTGCATCTGCTTAGATCACTTTCGTACTCCTAGATTTGCTCCTAGGTATAGGGAACATTTTTCCTATGGAAAATGACATTTTAACTGTGGAGTATTATTTTTTAACATGCTAGCACACATCCATTGCCCCGGATTGTAGGAGTTGTGGTAGGAAGTGCTTGCCTCCCTGTGTAGCGCTGATTTCTCATGCACATTGCATGGCAGTTCCGGGGTAACCTGCCCCCAGTTCACAGGTCATGTGTCCTTGGAGATGGTCAGTAGGACTGATTCATGTTTAGMAAAGGCCAGCAGCTGTCCCTAAAATGAGAAGGGGAGCCCTGGGATGCCTTGCACTGACGCAGGATGTCACATTAAGGTATCTCTGTGCTGGTAGCAGCCATTGTTCCCTGCCCCTGTATGGACACCAGGCTTCACGCTGCAATTTCTGCCCATGGAATCCTAAAGCCAAATTAACCAGATGCATCTGAGGCTTTTGACAAGGAATTACATCAACTAGTGTCTGTGTCATCAAAAAGTTTCCCCAAAGTTTCTTTCTGCACTGTTTCCCAAGTTCTCCGAGCAGCTGTGCTGTGGAGCCCAGCCCACACAAACCTGCTGTGTGCTGAAGTCACAATGAACTGCTGTGGCTGCAGCAGGCCTGGATGCAGGTAGAAACCCCCTTGGATAATATCACCTGATATTTCCTACCAGCACAATTGCTTTAAATTTTTTCCAATTTTAGGAATTCAAGCTGCCTGCAGGCTTTGTCCTCTCCAATGTTCCTGAGCTAATAAGTGCTGAGCTCTTACTATTTGAGAATACAAGGTAGATACTCTGAAGCCTGCTAGATAATGCATGTTACCTGTGCTGGCCTGACTGCGTTGGATTTGTGCTTCATTGTCAAATCTATGAGTTACAGAGGAAGCTCCTGCTCCTGAGTGTGTAACACCTCCAGTGTAATTTTAATTCTGTGCTTCTGTACCTGTTCTTATCTCGTGATCCTTCTTGTTTCCATCTTTTGAATTGCCTTTTGTCGAGTTTGTCTTATTCAAGCCTTCACAGTCTTTCTTTCTCTGACTTCTTGAGGCCAAGGGCTGAGTAGTCTCAAGTTTTCATGAGCTGAAGGGAGAGGGTGAGGTGAGCATGTTACATCTGTCCCAGGCTAGGTTTGGTTTGTTAATTCCTTTCCAAAGGCCACAGTTTTAGCAAAAGTAAGACAGGGAAAGCCAGACTTTTCTGGTGTGCTGTTTGACAGCACCATGCAGATGACAGAGTTCTTTGGGAGGTTGATCTGCACCTCTGACTCCCTGTGCAGGTTGGACTGTAATTTCTGTTACAGATTAAAGTCGTGTCCCTCTGTCACAGAGTCCTCTCCCCTCAGCGCAKCTCATTGTCAGATATTGGGTCTGAGTGCATCATGGGTTTTTAATACACTTTCTCTCTTAAGAAGTTAAGAAACCAAGGCTTAAGAAAATTGCAAAAAAAAAAAGTTTGTTCATCTGTGTGTCTGGTTTATGTACTGGTATGGGAAAARTATTTGTGCAACTTTCCTAAGAAGGATTGCAATGGAAAGGGGAAGGCTGAATAGCAAGAAAAACCCACATGCTGAAGTAATTAAACTCAAGAATTGCAAAAACATTACCGTGTTCCTTGTACGTTCTTTGTGTGTGTTCCTGTATGTGCCAATGTTTCCCAAATCTGTTTACTGATTTTTTTCAGAATTAAGAACTTTCCTGCTCCTGGGGGGTGGCCTCATGATGCAGCTGCTGCTGGTTCAGGAATAAGCAGGATGATGAGGAAAGCCATGCCTGTTTCCAGAGCCCAGGAGGAGGGCACCTGGGACTGGTTTTTCAAAAGAGACAATGTGAAAGCTCAGAATGCTGTGCATGCTGAAAAATACAGCAGATGTAGTGCACCTGTACACATGTTGTCGATAGACTCCAGTAGGAAAGGCCCTCAGCTCCATAAGGTATGGATTGAAATATTTACTGGAGATGATAGAAGGAAACAGGGAACAGCCCAGATCATCAGTAACATCAGGCAGACCCTGGATCCAGATGTAGCACCCGGTGCAGACCCTGCCCAGGATAACTGCCACCATGAGCTTTACAGGTTTTGTAGCATTTTCCTAGAAATAAGGAACTGTTCATCATTTCCACTGCCRAAAAAAGGATCTTTATACAGAACATGCTGCTCTGCTTCAGGATAAGGACAAGGACACGGCAGTGGGGTTGGCACATGGAGCTGTGGACAGACTCCTGCTATGCCAAGTGGCTGAATCTGCCTGCAGCCCATGCAGCTGCTGCCCAGCCTGTGCCCGAGGGCCAGCAGCAGGCACTGGGTCACCAGCCCCTCATTCCAGGCTGGGTGGGGACACTGCCCCACTGCAGGTTGATGTGTCACCAGTTTGTCACCCATGACCGCAGGGGCCTCGCTGTAGCAGAGGCTTCCTTCCTTCTGCAGCACCAKTGCACATGGCTGCTGTGCTGSTCYTTGGCTTTATCAYTGTGTGTCTGGGGAGGAAAGATTGCTCCTCCTTATCGTTCACGTGCTGGGAATTCACAGAGCACTCCCAGGCGGGGCCAGTGCACACTGAGAAAGTGCCAAGTGCCCCTCGCACGCTCCTCTCATGTGTTTCTGCACTGTTCCAAGCCAGCCCTCCCCACACAGACTGTGGGAGCCCTGCCATCAGTTCATACCTTCTGTGTGCCTGCTAACAGGGCTTTCCACAATATGAGAAAAACTGATTTTGCTCTGTCTCTCCTGGGCTGTGTGATGCCTTATCCATCCATGCTCAGAATGTTTTGCTGTCTCCTAAGATTGCTGTTTCAAAAAACAGCATTGTTACCATAAATGCCCAAAGCAGAAGTGAGGGGCTGCTGCCACAGTTACCTTAGGTACAGGTGTCTGGTCCTGCACTGTATAAAGGACAARACTTTYCATGCCACTGTTCCCCCAGTCAAAAGGGTAAATGTAAATATGTAAATAAATAKACACTCATCTTTTTTAGTTRCACAGTTTGAGTTTCWGCTTCCTGATCAGTCTAGAYCCYGCTAGTGATACATTCCTGTTGTGTTTTCACCCCAGCCAGCAATCGAGCCCCACAGAGCCACTTACTCATTCTGCCACTAGTGGAATYGTGKGGAGAGCTGGAAAACTCRTGGGTTGAGATAAAGACATTAATAGYGAAAGCAAAAGCTGGCACACARGCAAGGAAAAACAAAGGATGAATTCACTGCTTCCCACAGGCAGGCAGGTRTTGAGCCACCTGGAGGACAGCAGAGCCCCATCAYGKRTAATGGTGACCTGGGAGCAYAAACASCATCACTCCTTATGTCTCCCTCCTTCTTCCCCCCAGCTTTATACACTGACCATGATGTCATGGGGTATGGTCACTTTGGGTCACCTGTCCTGGTGGTGTCTCCTCCAATCTGCCATGTAYTCCCAGCCCCCTCAGCAGCGTGGCCATACAAAAAGCGGAGAAAGCCAKGGCTCTATGTAAACACTGCTCAGCAAAAACAAAAACATCTCAGTGTTCTCACCCTGGTGTTCAGCAGAAATCCAAAAACAGGACAGCTCCCTTTTGACTTACTCCAAGACAATGCAGGCTTCTGCCCTCCTGCAGCAAGCTCTGTTCCCTGTGAAGGAGTTCCAATGATTTGSCCTTAACGTGGACTTTTCCTTTTTGAGCTAAGAAGTATGTGAGCACTACAGCCCACAGCAGCTTTTCCTGCTTCCCTCTTATCCCACTGGCTGCAGGCTGGAGTGGCATCTCATCAGAAATTTCTGATGAAGGAATACAGGGCCACAAGGGAGGATCCCACTCTGTGCCACTGCAGACCCAAACCATGTCTCACTATCATTACAGGAGGGCTGTGTCCAGGCCAGGAACTTGGATTTGATTTGRCTGCACTGAATTATTCTGATTACTTGTATTTGAGGACAGGATGTTGAATTTSAGTGTAACAACAGTAAAGGCTCATTTCAGTTCAGCTGCATGCAATGAAGCAAGAGATTCTTTCATTGAAGCAGAAGAAAAATTGAGTACTATAGAAGACAGCAAAAGGCAGTAAAATCCCTTAAAAGGGATGTTTCAGTAGAAAATAGATACTTCTCTCAGGGCTGGCGCTCAATTACTGAATTATAGAGATTAACTATAACATTTATTTAATAATAGTACATCAWCACAGTTAAGAAACCATGATTTCACGGTCTCAAAGATTGTCTACTTTGACAAGTTCCTCTTTTTCTCTCTGGGCATCTCCATGTTCACCTGTTTACAAAGCAGTCTGAAGACATTGCAAGGATGCAGGAAGCCCCAATCYGGGCTTGTAATTGAAAACAATTAATCAATTAAGCCAAGCAGTTAAATTGCTCTGTGAGAAGGGAGGATCCATTTGTGATATGCAGTGGGATTAGTTGCTTGGGTGTTTGCAGCTCTTGGGAAATTTTTGGGCTTAGTTTTGTATATCTGAAGTCCCCAKCTCTTAAAKGTGGCRGAGTGACACAGAATATTTCAGTKGGAAGAGGCCTACAACAATCATCTGTCTCACTCTGGTAATGTCAAGATTTAAGGTGTTTCATAAACCTTAAGTAAAAATATAGTGGTGGGTGTCACAGAAGCTGGTGAGAAAGTRAGTTGTGAGGACCTAGACAGTTCAGTTCCTTCCGAGTTCCTCCTGAGTTCCTCTCTCAGACTTGTGTGTGTGTAATGTGGGTGTGAAAGTTTATTCACCAGAAAGCAAAGCAAGGAGAAAAAGAGGAAGAAACGGTTGCTTAGGAATCAAAAGAAATAAAGGAAAAGTTAAAAGGAAAAAATTAGAAAAACCAGAAGGGAGGGGAATCATACTCAGCAGAAAATGCTAAATAGAGTAGAAGTCATTTCTAAATTTTCTTCTTCTTACCCTTCCTTAGGGTTTCCGCTCTGCCCACGCCTCTGACAGTGGTCACTGAGACACTTGTTTTCTGATAAAGAGGAAGGAAAAACCAMCAGCCCTTGTCCTGGACGCTCAGTGACAGAGTGAGCAAAGGCAGGGAAGTGTTCCTGATTTACCCCAGCTTGGGGAGAGCAGGTCAGTCTGTCTGGAGAGGGAGCAGCCATGGCCCCGGGAAGGATGAGAATGCTGCTGCAAGCAGCCGTGCTCCTGAGTTCCCTTCTCCACTGCAGCGGTGAGTCTGGTGCGGGCACGGGTCCCCTGCCCTGCCCTGGGGTGGCTCTGTTTTGGGAAGGGATAGATGGTAAAAAAGCCAAGCCTGTGTGCTGGTTGGGACTCAAGTGTTTCAGCTCCACTGGCTGCAGGTGCAGCAGTGCCTGAGGCCATGGGAACGCTGCCCAGGGACACCAGGACAGACACCCCACACACCTTGTGACAGTTATTCCATGGAATACATAGGGTCTGATCAGTGCTTGTGTTTCCAGGATAAGGGAGGTTTGGAAACCACCAGAAAAGGGTAAAGATGTGTCTGTGGAAGCTGAGATTCAGTCCTCAGAGTGSGAGAAGTGTACTGTGACAAAGGCATGATGTTCATTTTTACAGGAAAATGTAGAGTTTTAGGCTTCTTTACCCCATGGTTCAAGTTGGGCCTAGGCTGAAAGAGTGGTGCGTTCCAAAAAAAACAGATGGGTAGTGGAGGAGAGAAGTCTTTGCTGTTCCTCAGAAGCCCCAAGRGTGACTGGAGCAGACACTGGCTGACACCAGGGAGCTGCAGCTTGGACTTTRGACCAGCTCGTTCCCTCAGGCCTGAGTTACCCAGTAACTCTGACCCTGGGCTCTGCTCAGCGTTGGTGGTGGCAGGAAAGCACCCGGCTGCACACGTGGCAGGGGTCAGTGCCCCCGGCCATCAGCCACCTCCCGTCCATCTGCCTCATGCCACACTGATTTTTGGTGAGCCCATCCCTCATCACTGGCTGCTTGTGCTTCTCACCTGCTGGGCTCTTTTCACCAACRCTCTGGCCATGGCTTTGCCATCTGGGAGCCAACTTCAGCCTGGCTGCTTTGTGGCTTAATTTTCATCCTCCTTTCTTCTTGCAGCATTTCCAGACCTGAGCGGCCTCAGTGAGATCAAAGGTGTCTGGAAGGGGTCTGCCACTCTGCCTTGTRCCTATGTGCCCGTGGAGGGCCTCGTGCAGCAAACCCTCAGCTGGGCTGTGGAACATGACAAGGGTGAAGGCACCATCTTTCGGAGGGATGACCAGGGTGACCACGTTCTCCTGTCTGAGTACAGGGACAGAGTCAGCGTCCCAAAGGATGCCCCAGGAAATGTGTCCCTCCRCATCCTGAATCTGGAGATCTCTGACAGAGGAATTTACACTTGCCATGTCACCTGGAGAGACAGCAACTACAGCCTGATAGCCAAGGAGATCACCACCAACTTGGATGTTGTTAAAGGTAAATCCAAGAGGGAGGCTGTTCGGGAGGAAAAGGCTTGGCTCAGGAAGGCTTTTGGGAATTGGATAGAACAGGTAGGCAGTGACCGTGTGTTTCCATGCAGAAGCATTTTGCAGATCAGTGTCAGCATCTAGCAAGAAGCAGCAAACAGATTGGAGAGAGAAGTTTTGCCCAGGACTCAGCACCCTGCAGCTGGGGGAGGATCTGTGGCTCTCAATCACCAGCTCATCCCTTGTTCTCCCTGTATCCAATGGCTCGATGTTTCCCAGGGTCATGCAGGGGTGTCCCAGGGATACTGCGTGGTGGTTTTTTGACTAAATTTCATCAGCCTGTGCCTGCCTTCCCTCTGCCCATCGAGGGGTTTGTATAGTCACTGAGACATCATCAGCCAGCGCAGCAGAGCAGGATGGCACGGGCGGCAGAGCTGCTGTGGGCCCTGCTGAGCTCATCCTGCACAGGGAGGTGATGCGGGAGCCGAGCTGCTTCCTCCTGGGAAGGCACCGATATCAAGAGTAAAAATTGCAGTGACATTTGCAGGGGGTCCATCCCCACGATATGCAGGGTTTTGTGACCTGAGCTCCCGTGCTCTGTGTTGCAGTGGCAGCCACCAAGCCCATCATCAGAGGCGGAGAGCGGGGGCTGACGCTGCCGGCCGGAGCCAGCACCAGCCTGAGCTGCGAGGCCAGCGGGTCCCCTCCCATCAGCTACCGCTGGTTCCGGGGCTCCCCGGCGGGGAAAGCCGCGCTCCTGAGCAGCGGGGCTGAGCTGGCGTGGCACAGCCTGCGCCTCTCCGACAGCGGCACGTACTTCTGCGAGGCACACAACAGGATTGGCAACGGAGCCGTGCAGCGCAGCGATGCTGTGCAGCTGACGGTGACAGGTGAGTGCCCTCGGCCACAGCTGCCCACACAACACSCTGCTGCAGGGCAAAGGAACAGCATCCCACTGCCCTGCCCGCAAAGAAGGAAATGCCAAACGCCTTCAGCACTCTGACACACCAATGGCTCCAGTCTGTGTCCTTCTTTATTTCCTCTATTCAATTTCCTCCTCTTTGAGGAACTGCTGTTTTCTGATGTAAAGGAAGCTTTGTATCTCAAACATTTATTTATTCCTCTCTGGGTTTTTTGAAGTTCTCCCTGGCTCTG